TGATAGTTCTGGGGGCTACTCTTTCATTGTGCAGTATATTTAATGGATTCCCTTTTTTGATGTACAACCAACCATGCCCAAAGCCAAACACTCCCTTGCTGTTTACCATAGTTGTTCCAGTTCTATGTTTATAATGTGATGGTCAAATTTTAAATCTAATTCAAAGTTAAAAAAATAAAAACATTTGGTAGTACGGTAATACACATGGTGATGTCATGGCTTTAATTACCCAATTACACTTCAGTATAGGATTCATCATAGTTGCCACAGACAGCATTGCGTTTCAACTATGATAGGGCAGTGTATACATGTGCAGTGACATCGGGAATGTTACTGTATGGTGCCGGCCTGAGGGGGCCACGGCACGCGATGCACCGTCATCGCGTACACCCCGTAGGCGGGTGTAGTACCAGCCCTAACGGGGCTTGGCGAGCGCTGGGTTAGCGCGGGCACCTCGCAAGCGCGCAGTGCGGTCTCCCACAAGGGGGAGCGGGAGAGTGTCAGCCCAGGGGCAGGGTTGCCCCGGGCCATGGCACTCTGGTTGACCCCATAGACACGTGATCCGGAGTGTCCACAGAGAGGCCCCCAGGTGGGGGGACTAGGGGGGATCACGTGTCCGGGGAGAGCTCTCGAGAGGGATCGAGAAGGAGCTGGAAGGCTCAGAAGGGGGCGGGGCCAAGGGCGGAGCGGCCCGACCCGTGGGAGGATATAAGGTGGGTCCCTAAGAGGGACCGGGGTCGCTGCATTCTACAAGCTGGAAGCTCCACGTCTCAAGCTGGAAGCTCCACGTCTCAAGCTGGAAACTCCACGTCTCAAGCTGGAAGCTCCACGTCTCAAGCTGGAAACTCCACGTCTCAAGCTGGAAGCTCCACGTCTCAAGCTGGAAGCTCCACGTCTCAAGCTGGAAGCTCTACGTCCTACGAGGCATCAACATGTGGTCGCGGCGGACCTGGGTGAGAGGGTCCGACCCTTCGTAGCTGTAACTCCTCTGTATAGTGCAGTTAGCTGGGTGGTCACCACCCTAGGCTGTATCTGGTAAAGGGGCAGTTAACCCTTTGTGTCACGTGTTACAAATAAATGTGTTGCCTCTAAAAGGAACAACGTCTGCGACTCAGTTGGACCTACTACAGATGTTTAGGGGCCCCTGAAAACCTGAGGCTGTAGCTGATAAATCCCCTGGCTTAATTCGGGCCTGCATGTCAAGGAACAAATAAATTAATCAAATCATGAACTGCTGTATTCTTATTAGCGTTATTTGCTGATAGTGTCCAGTTTTCTTGTAACGCCAGGCACGGTCTCTGCTTCAGCTTCTCTGCTGCTAACTATGATCTTCTCCTGCACAGAGGATGGTGATGGTTAAATGTCTGACACCACCCTTACAGCATTTGTGATTGGAACGTAGCTGGCTAATGTCCACCGTGGAGATAGATCTATTAATTTACCTCATGTGCTGGTGCTAGGTGGATTGGGCTTCCCCTGAGTCGACTCAGCCTAAAATGAGTACCTGGTGGGAGATAAAGGCGGCCAGGTGTGGATTTGGTCACCCAACTAACAGCACTTGCCCCAACAGTCTGTTATGGTTATACGGAGGATCGGTGTTTTTTACATTGCAAATCTGTGAGGGATGGTGATTACTTGGGTGGCCTTCATCTGGCAGTGGATTGATCATGACTGATGATGATGTCATACAATTTCATATATTCATTTCCATTTCCAAACTTTTTAAAGCACATCTTAAGATGAAACGAATGATAGCAAGAGATTATGAATGCTGCATTCATAACGCAAACATATGCCGACATACACTCATTAAACATTTGTATTGCACGAGCAGTCGACTAACAAATGTGAAAACGCACATCAAAATGATGAATTTATATTTCATTGAAATTCCAAAATATCAAAAGCAAACAAATGGATTTTTTTATCATATGATATTATTTTTTTCTTTCTACTCTGGAAAATAATATTCCACTTAAATTTTGATTTAAAGCTTTCGTGACTGCAGGGATTCATATTCATCTACGTGACTTTACCGAAAGAACCAAGAATAATATTCCACTTGGTGAAAAAATATTCCCTGAGATCACAGCACTTTGAGAATCGCAGAAAGCATCGCAGACATCTCAATTTGCACCGTCATGTTGCCACAAAGCCCTCTTCAGTGGCCCTGACAGTAATGAAGTGGCTTGGGTCGTTAGATCAGGCCGGGCGATTCCCTGCCCGTGGAGCTCTCGTCGGGTTAACCGGCTGGCGATTGCCCAAGCCCAGAACATCACGAGCATCGCCTCAATCCCACCCCCTCCCCTCCCCCCACCTTCCCGCCCCCTTCTCCATTAATCACTCAAAACAACACCCGCCGTTCTCTGCTACTCACAAAAGCCTGCGAAGCTCTGTGAGCACTTTGTGCTTCGCGCGGATGTGGCTCTAAAAGGTCTTCCCTGATGCAACTTCTTTAGCGTTTCTCCATTGTTCAATAGCCCCTGCTTAAAACAGGCATGGCTCCAGTTAACATGTTTTATTTCATTTATAATCCACTCCTCCCCCTCCGTTCCCCCCAGAAGCCCACCATGCCAGCTTGCTACATGTGAATAAGTCACTTGTCTGGAGGTTTACCAGGGATACTTACTGGCATTGCCAAAAACCTCATTAAAAAGTCACGGATGGACAACTGTGATCAGGCCTGCTCCCAGCCTTGTTCTGCTACAGAGCCAGCAAGAAGTATGTTTTATAAGCCCTTACTACCTTATGACCAATCAGACTACTTTATCACGTGACAATGCATATTGGACAAGCATGTGTTCTATATGTTTACTGAATGTAATAAGACGACCATAACCGTGGTGTTGGTTACAGAAAGTGTCACATGAGCATCCGAACGTAATAAATTAAACCTTAATTTTTTTGCATATTCAGATAATTTATCCCACCCCTTTTGTCAGTCAATGTTGGTTCTGTGACTCCAGTTATAGGGAACCACATACCACATTGGATTTCGCAGTCTCAGCTCATGTGGTCACGTGAATTCATTGACACACGGTCATTGGAATGGAAAAGCAACACGCCATGTTGCATCAGTGCTGAGCATCCAGCAGCCCAATTCTTCAGAGAAACTGCATGGACTGCATAGGCCCATCTGGTGGCAAAAGCACTGATGATTTCACTGTCATTGTAATGCAATTAGCAATTAATCCACCTGCCTGTGTCACCTGAGACTGAAAAACCAGATGTAGAGTTGTCTCACCTTCCCCAAACGGATGCCATGAGCCACCCACTGTCTTCGGCGTGGATCTATAAATCGTGCCAAAATAACTCTCAGCCACGTCACCTGTAGCCACGATGGGCATTTTTCATGTATTTATAAATCCTATACTCGTCTATGACCGAAGACTGGAAGTGGACTGGAAGTGTGATTTGATTTTCTTGAAAAAATTTTAAACGCTTTCATGTTGCATTGCAATAAAATGAAATCTGAATTTCATAATGCGTTCACACAATGCGTACTGCAGCAGAACCACTGTCAACAAGGCGATCACTAATTTTCTTAGATGCAACTTATCACGTGGCTTTGGGCATCACCGTGTAAGTGAAGCTCATTGGTCAGTGGAGTTGCAGAAGTATTTTTAAATCACTTTTCACATTCATATTGTTTCTACATTACACAGCACTGTATTGTTTGCCAGCTTTACTTTAAGCTCTAGGTACTAAATCACAAGCCATGGACAGTCAGGTTTACCAAATGCATTCTCCAGCTATGGCTACCAAAACCTTTTTTGCTGCATGTTTGTAAACGTGCACAACTTTCTGACAATTAATAATATGAAACACAACGAAACACATGAATGATTTACTGTTGTTTATTGTTGTTTTTTTTTTACTCGTCGAGGCCCTTAAAAATAAAAAATGGTTTATTATCATGAGTATACAAGTCACAGTTAAATTGTGAAAGCTTGCAATAAAATACTTTACCTCAGTTTTATACTATACCAATAAAACTACATTGGCGAACAAAGAAGGGAAAAGTAAATGTATTGGTGTAACTGGATATTACCTGACGAGTCTTCCGAAGGAAGATCAAAAGCACAGCACAACTGTTCACGTTCATGAATGTTCTTCCAAATAGAGTGTGCACACGTTACAGCCATTGTGTTAATCTACTGCCTTCCCCTGCCCCGCAGGTCGTGGTGGTTACTTGACAATACTTCAATATGTGGGTGAGTGCGAGTTGGTATACGTAGGGAACATCGAAACGGGAGCATATAAGTACAGTACAACGTTGGATTATGCTGCACTGCCCTTTGCTGCTAACCACGTAGCCCCACAGTCAATGATAGTTATGCATTGTGGTCACCCATCAAAGGACTGTGGAGAATTGAGTCTAAATAAGTAATATTTTTAAAAAACTTTTTTTTTTAAAAACACGCTTTAATGAAATGTACCGTACGAGTAATGGAAGAACTCCACCACGACCCCAGGAAGTGACCCCGAAGCTTGCCACAACGTAAGGGGGCCGTGATCATTTACAGCCAAAGTCAGTTTACCGTGGACAATTAGACCCAAGCCGAAACATAATATATAAAATATGTTTAAAAATATGTATATTTTTCATGATAGAATATAGCATTGTCATCAGTATGACATAAGTATACCAAGTTTGCAGTCGATACCACATTGGGAAGTGGGTAAAAATTGAGTTACAAGATTTGAGGATACAACAACAGAGTGAGTTAATAAAAAAGTGTGTAATAATAATAAAGAGTCAACATATTTTAATTACATTTTCTTCTTCTCTTATATACAATTAACTTGGCATCACAAGAGTGACATTTTTATGTCCCTCCATCAAAAACCCTTTTAAAATCATGAAATGGCAAAATGGTAACGTTGTTAGCTTATCCTCTGTCATTGTTGTCAAATGCAAAAGGACTAATAATAATTATCATTGGTCCACTCTGCTTATCTGTCGTGTCACCTGCCATCTGGGATTCCAGGTCTCTTACCGCCACAAAGAGCTGTCGGTGACACTGTCCACGTTGCTGTCGACAAATTTAGTCAGGATCAAGATGACCTGCATGGGGAAACAAATTCACATAATTTAGCTTGACAGAATTGAATTGTAGAGTCAATGTACTTCAACAAAGCCACAAATAGTGAACTCTCTGATGGGTTACAGTTTGTGAGCGACATGACAAACATCATGCTAAATAAGATACGGTACAACTGGACAATCTATCAGAGAGTTATATAGCACACACGTGACAACCTACGCGATAGTGAACTCTTGACAGCAAGAAATGTTCTCTGCAAAACCTGGTGCTGCTGATTGATGTATAAATCACAAAGTTAGTTTGAGCCTTAGCCGTTGGTATGAAGTTATGTGAGTGTGATGGATTCGGTCATGATATTTACTCCTGTTTCGAAAGAATTTGCATTCCATCAAAACATTTTTGCACATATGTAAAATGTAAAGGCTCAGGCGTGCAATTTCTTTCAAATGCCACTGCCAGCGGATGGGCCTCCACTATACTGAGCTCTAGAGAACCCCCTCTAAGGGGACATTTGGCTTGCTCTTCCATGCTGGCCAGATGCCGATCTACTGTGTTGTACCCATTTAAACTGAACAGAGGCACGGCATAAAAAAAAAACTTGCCCATTGTTTCAACCGCCGTGCTCAGAGAATGAAATAAGCTGTAGCCCTATGAATTGCAAGTAAAATTCGCTAACCATTACACCATGGAAACATCCCATCTTCACATCAGTGGTAGTTAAATGACAGATTTTTGGATGATTGGCTCTCACATAAAGCCATTTTTTAACAGCTGCATGGATTTCAATCAGTCACATGTGGGTCATGCAGTTCTGATAATAATACATAAATCTACCACTGTATCCCTACCAATATATTATTAAATTATATTACTTAACAAAAGCATTCGCATGTGCCATGTGCAACTGTAAAACATAAAAAGAGTATTTAGAAGCTGCCCAAATTAGTTATTTGCCACAGCTGCCGTGATTGAATAGTGCCAGTTTACCTATAATAAAATCCTGTTACTGTACAGCTGATGTTGCAAACAGCTCTTTCCTGTGCATAACTTCCTATTCTAAATACAAATGCCAGACGGAAAGGAATAAAAAAAACTTTTTTTTCTTAAGTTTATTCAGTTAATTCTCTCCGTAAAACAACATGCAGTCTGTTAACCATCTTAATAATACAATTCCACGAAATAATTTTGCTAATGTCTTTTATATATAGTACATTAATTATCAACGTACTACATATATAAAAGAGAGATATCTACACATACCATATTATTTAATAAATATATTCATTGCTAAATTACATTGCAGCATAGTAAGAGATGGTGGCGGCTAGGGGAGGCCTTCATCCAGCAGTGGATTGACCATGGCCGATGATTATTAATTTCTAGAAATGTTTAACAATGGTAACATTGCTTAAATGTAAGTGTTTGTAAGGAACCCAAAAACATGCGCGTTGTTTATTTCATTAAACCAATGGGAAGCAATCATCCTTAAAGTTCCATTGTGTGCTTTCAAAGGCATTAACTGTGACTGGAACAAATTTTAACACAGACCTAGTTAATGTTTTATCTTTCAAGGCTACCATTACCTGACCATAAATTATATAAAATTGATTATTAACCCAGTACATTTGCTTGCCAGAATATTTGATGTGCAAAATGCAATGCTATTCATCCGGTGCCAAATTGGTGTAATTATTTTGTTTACTGCTAAAAAAAAAACACAAGATGAACGATAATTGAGGATTGGGATGAGATTGTACAATGCAGAGTAAAATACACACACGTGTCTTTTAGCAAAGGCCGCTCAGGATTTACAGCCCATACAGGCAACCTCCAGTCTGTAATTAGGTCATTATTTACGTGTCTCGCTTGTAAATTTGTGAGATTACAGTGTTCACCATTTACGTCTGTAACCATCAGTGGTCCATCTTTAAATGCAGGTACTTTAAAATAAATAAATCTAAATACATCACGTCTCTATACTTCCAGCCAGAAGCTCATCAGGGGCAGAGTGGGGGGGGGAGAAGGGTAAAAGCCCCCCCCCCAAACCCCCCCTCCCCCATGCGAAATGTTTAGACACTATTGCATGTCATAGACAATTTTTTGATTAGTCATGAATGTTTTTTGTATATATATAAACAATTACTAGCTAAATAACCACCCGAGAGTCCATCCATTGAGTAGATGGAGCCAATAAATCAGCTCATGTGTAGGCACCAGATTAAATATTACGTCACAGGATCATAGGATATGGCAATGACTTGGGGAGCCTCCATCCAGCAGTAGATTTATCACAGCCGATGATTGACTACTTAAATAAGCCTCCTCAAACGGTTTCGATGTTATAGGCAAGCACCTTACAGATGCTGTTGCAGGTGGAATTCAGTACAGATTGTTATAATTGTTTACATTCTTGAAATGGGAGAAACACATCAATCCAGAAGTTACATTTGCATTATGAAAACATGTCCTGCTAAATATAAGTGAATATGGAAATATGAAACACATAATTTTTGGCAATATCTTCATTAAAAATGCCATTGTTGTAATTGGTTTCAAATGGTTTTATTTCCATAGACAGAAATGTAATATAGCGCTGGGTGATTACTTTCAAAATCCTAAATCCGGTCGAGATAAATTCTGCACAGATGTTAAATAAGCCATACAGCGGGATCATAAAGATCACATGATTATTTATAACATATTGAGAAAATACAGTTTTAATTAAACCATTTATCACCAACATACGCTACAGGTAAGGAAATGGAATTTAATTGTTTACAACTTTGTTCAGCGTTGCGATCAGGAGAATTAAGGTTGATCGTTACTTCTAAACGTTTCAAAAACATTTTTCTTAAATAACAATAAAAAAGCATGGATTTACCCAGGCAGTCCATTAATAATGCTCTACAAATTCAAAGTGGGCTTCATTAATCAAGCAGGGTGGCTGCTTTTGCTGAAAATGAAACGTGTAGCTTAAAGCTTTCGACTTTTTTTCCTATATAATAGTACATTGTTTTGCATGTATTAATGACATTATCGTGGTTTCCCGTGACCAATACCACATGAGTTACAATACAGAGAATGAATATGATTCGTATAAACAAAATTAATTCATTTCTTGGTGGCAGGCGAATATGCAAAACGAATTATTTGGAAATGTGGTTCCGTATAATTCTTAACAATACACTTATTAAACGTCTACATTTAAAGCGCATATCTGAACATTTTCCCATGATGGGCAAACGCTGCTGGCACAACTCTTCACGAGTTTCCACTTCAGTGGCTATTGCTCCCGTTGCTGTCATGTAAATAAAAAAACGTCCCCCACCCCTTCCACTAATAAGCATTGTTGAGCAGTACTCATCTTAAAGGTCCTCAGCCAGTGGAGGATATGTCAAGTTCCCAAAATGTGTAAATCCTTAACGCAAAGTTGTTTCCCGTGAATAGAGGATGGAGCCATTCACCTGTCTGCGCTTATTTAACCCACCCCGTTGGGATATGTGAAAAAGATGATGATGAAAATGATGATGGTAAGGGCTCAATTTCTCACTGAATAGTTTCCAGGTTTCTGGTATACTAAAGTGACTATTATCCAAAGTCATCGTGAGAGTTATACTGGATGTGGTGTAGCGGATGCGGAAATATTATTCTGGTTATTGACTCGTACAGACCAGGCTAAATTAAACTATGCAGATGATGGGCTAAGTCGGCCCTTGCTAAAGTTTGAACTTAAATCGAATTTGTAGACTAAACTTCTCCACTAATTAGCATTTGCCAACCTTCTGGCTTTGGTATACACATATATTTGTAAATTCTTAACATGAGACTAATACAAATAAGAACGTTACGGCTGACGATTGCCCTGAGTGAAACCCATAAACCTCTGCCGCAATTTTGGCAGACTCAGAAACCTAAAATGTTCACTTTCAAATGTTTACAATTCTGAAATGTTCAAGCAGTTAAGGGGTAACTCAGACTTTCCGTATCTTCAGGCAACATGAATGCCAACTGTCTGCATTTTCAGGTCATCGGGAAACATTTTAAGGCAGTTTTGATGAAATTCCAACCAGTCCACCACCTGAATTTTGAGTTGTTCCTTCACTGCCAGTAACATTTTTCGATTTAAAGCTTTCGTGACTGCAATGATTCATCTTATTTGGTTCTTTCGGTAAAGTCACGTAGAATGAGAATAAAATAATAAATTGATAAAATAAAATAACACAATAATATTCTCACGACGTTTCGGCCGCAACACAAGCGCCCTTCATCAGGTGAAGGGGACGAGACTGTCTTGTAGGACAGCGCTTGTGTTGTGGCCGAAACGTCGTGAGAATATTATTGTGTTATTTTATTTGATCAATTTATTATTTTATTCTCATTCTACGTGACTTTACCGAAAAAACCAAAGAAGATGCCAGTAACATTTCCTGTGATTTTCCTATTTTTTGTGTAAGAGTAGACTCGACTATACCTGTGCCACATTTATACTTTCTGGCCCTTATGAAACATCATTACTGTATACTGTAATTTGTATGAGTCACTCAAGTCATGATCTTTTCTATTCCTTATATAAACTGAATATTCAGTACTGCCCTTACACACGGGCAGAGAAAGCTAACTACCTACATGTTTTTATTTAAAGCTTTCGTGACTGCAAGGATTCATCTTCTTTGGTTCTTTCGGTAAAGTCACCACGTAGAATGAGAATAAAATAATAAATTGATAAAATAAAATAACACAATAATATTTTCACGACGTTTCGGCCACAACACAAGCGGCCTTCATCAGGTGAAGGCGACGAGACTGTCTGGAGGACAGCGCTGTTATTTTATTTTATCAATTTATTATTTTATTCTCATTCTACGTGACTTTACCGAAAGAACCAAAGAAGATACCTACATATGTATTCGAATAAGCAGGGTTTCATTTCAGCCAAGTCGGCAACGGGGACAAATATTTCTGCTCCCAACACACCACGTCCAGTTCCACTTTGGCTGTGGCTACTAATCACGTACTGACTGCAGTCTATCGTACATTCATTCACGATTACATTTGTAACGTGCACAAATTAAACTTCAAAAAGGGCAATTCAGAGGCTTGGGAGAATTCAAGACTTCATATTCCGACGGGACGATACCAACGCTGATGTGCGCAGTGAAAGAGGTATTCAATTCCAGATGACTGGAGATGCGACAAAGAGCCGGGCAACATTCATTGATAAAAAAATAAAGCCCTGCGCACACGACCGCTACACACATGCATGCTGTACTACTGGCGCACATGGGCGAAAGGCCACTCACGCTGCTGTTGTCGCCCGTCCAGTGGACTATCGCCTGGTTGTGGGAGCCGTCCCCGGCCAGCACGAACGAGCTGCTGCTCACGGCGCCCCCGGGTTCCCGCACGGAGGGCACTCTCGGAGGCAGCGGAGGCAACGCTCTCCCGCGCCGCGGGCGCTTGGGAGCCCCTGGCTTAGAGTCCAGCAGATCCCGACGGAGAATTGATGCAGCTGATGGCACGTTTGCCGCTTCTGACGACGAGTAGGGGGTGAGTTCCCCTTGCCGCCAGATAGCAGCACCGGCTGCTGTGGCTGCGCTGACAGCATTGCTTTCCGCCAGCACCACCAGCAGCATCATCATCATCAGAGGCGACATCGTCACCAGCAGCGGTGGCAGAGTCTCCACCTCGAGCCGCCGCGCTCCGCCGGGCGACACAAGCTGGACCGGAGCGCACGCAGCCCTGCCGCGTTCACATCTCCGGCTCATGTGCGTACGTCGTTGTGTGTGTGTGTCTGCGTGTATGTTTATCTGTGCGTGCGCGCGCGTGTGTGTGGCTGTATGTATGTGTAGCGTGTCTCACTGTGTATTGATTGTCCGTGTGTGTGTATCTCTCTCTCCTCCAGCTCCCCTCTCGCTATCCGCTTCACTCCGCGTAGCGAAAGTGTTAAAAGCGACGCGGCGTCCGTGTCCAACACCCACCACCAGCAGCCCATCCAACCCCAACCATCAATCCACCTCCCCAACCACGTCCCCCCTCATCTATACCCAAGCCCCCCCCCCACCCACCACCACCCCCACCACGATGCCCCCACCCACCCCCACCACGATGCCCCCACCATTCCACCCACCCGAACGTGCGCGCCCCTCGCTGGCGATGCAACCCCCATATATTGCGCCCCCCATTGGCTAGCATTGCGCAAAGGAACGGGGGGGGGGGGGGGCTCGCTCGCTCGACACTGCGCGCCTCGAGCAGATGTTTTTTTTTCTGCACGATTTCTCGGGGGTGAGCCTCGTGGAAGCGACTTTGTCCCTTAGCCCCCTCTCCACCCGCCCCGCTCTCGAAGTTCCTTTACATAACAGCCGGCGTTCGCTATTCTGTCCTCTCCACATATATACATATGGCTTTCCCGAGCAAATATTATCTAGCAGAATTGGTTTAAGAAAACTATGGGCAGGTTTAAATATTATGCTTCTCATTAGCAGTCAGGCTTGTTAAAGAAGAAAAAAAATCATGCTGCTGATGACCACATTATTGGCAAGGAACTTTCCTATTAGTCAAAGTCATAGTGAGAGGCATTATGGATGTGGTGTAGCGGATGCGGAAATATTTTCCTGGTCATTGCCTCGTACGGACCGGGCTGAATTAAGCACTGCTGATGGGCTTAGTCGGTTGGTCGTGACACCAATTGGGGTGGGTGTGAGAATGGTGGTGCGTGAACGGGCAGAGTTCGCTCGTACAACACAAAACGTCGGGAGGCATTCATCCGGGAGTGGATAAACAATGGCTATTGAGATTATGATGGTGGCAACAATAGAAAACGGTAAACACGTAGCCCCCGGTAACGACTGAAATGTGATTTAAAGCTTTCGTGACTGCTAGGATCCATACTCTTTGGTTCTATTGGGTAAAGTCACGTAGGTAAAAAAATAAAATAACAAAAATCACGACGTTTCGGCCACAACACAAGCGGCCTTCATCAGGTGAAGGGACGAGACTGTCTGGAGGACAGCGCTGGAGTGAAAAAAGCCACGCTCAGATCACGATCTTTTTACCTACGTGACTTTACCCAATCGAACCAAAGAGTATAGACTTGAAATGTGTGTTGTTTGTTCTCCTTCCCCGCACCTCCGATTAGCACGGTTGACTACGTACGGTGCGAAAGAAGTTCAACATAAATACACATTACAGAACTGCGTATGTTTTCGTGGTTGTGTTAAAGCTCTTAGCACTTGGTACCACAGGTCAGGGACAATGACATACAACACGCAATAACCCTGAAAACGCACCAAAGTGCTCTATACAAAATAGTGCGTGTGATGTACGAAACATTGATTTAGAATGCAAATCCACACCGCTGCTGGCGAAATGGCCTCAAGTAGAGGGAGCGCCACAAAGCCCCTCGAGATTATATTTTGGCGAACCCTTCCACAACTGGCCAAACGTCTTTGAAGAGGTCGGTGCATCTACATTATACCCTATCACACGCAATTTGTCGATCGATGATAGCTCAACGGATGTTTCTAAATGTGGAGGGGAAACCCGGAGGACCCGGAGAAAAATCCAAGCGACCACGGGGAGAATATGCAAATTCCAAATATACAGGGGTCATGGTGGGGGTCGAAACCACGACCTCCTGTATACCAGGCAATGTAGTTAACATCTCTGCTGGACAGATAGGGGCGGCCAGCTTTAAAAAAAACTTACACAACTGCCGCTCCCATCTGGGCTGAAAGTCAAGTATGCTAATCATTACACCACGGAAACATTCTCTCCGGTGTTTTTTGTTTTAATGCTACGGCGCCTCAAATATTCAGCACGAGTCGTCCCCCCACAGGTGATTTCTCATGAGGGTACAAACGGTCTCGAGGGAGGAACGGGGTAAGACAAATGTGTAAATTAATTAAATGGAAAGAACTGTGGCATGCGACCCTAAAAATGTTAGGCTGCTGATCGATGACGGTCCAATTTGATTTAGTGCATCGTTCTGCGTTGGTGTGGGTTTATTTTTCTTTCGGACATGGTGTTTTATCAATCAGAATACCGCCACGTTGACACAGCAACGACGGGAGGTTACCTGTGTGACATTCTGCATGGATACATGTACGGCTAGGACGCTTACCGAGGAGATGGAGCCGTAAAATCAGCTCGCATGGAGCCGACTTGGGGGAGGTCTACATCCCACAGTGAATCGTGGCTGTCAGGTAGTACATATACAGTACTGTCAGGGCCGGATTAAGATGTTGTAGGCCCCTGGGCTGCAGGTACTGTGAGGCCCCCCCCAGTAATATTTTAAAAAGGAAAACAAAGTTAAATAGAAAAAATAAAACGTATTTTTACAAGGTTAACAACAAATAAAATTCAGCATTGACAAATGAAATAACTTTTGACTTAATCTCTGGAGGCCCTCCAGCTGGCGGAGCCCCCTGGGCTGCAGCCCCTAAAGCCCCCCCCCCCCCCCGTGCCTTAATCCGGCCCTGAGTACTGTACTATCAATCCACTGCTGGACGAAGACTCACCACACCTTGCTGGTCGTGGATGTTATTCGACCATATTTCACCACCCTTTGTCAGTGCAGATCGGTGGAAGGTTGGGAGCAGAGACTTGGGATTTTTGCTGCACTGCTGCCCTTAATGTCGTCTCGCAGCAGCCGATGACAGCTGTTTTCATGCATGTGAAGGTCGCCAATCCAAACACTATCCAGACTATGTTTATCCTGTCTAGCTTCCGAGATTTGGCGATAGTTTCTGAATGTATACCTCACCGAAATTACCGTACACTGTGCAGCTCAGTCTCCAAAATGACAAACACCCTCGATTGCATAGGTGCAATCAACTACTTATTAACGGGCGTGTTTAACGCGTTGGGCATTATAGATCCACGTTGTTGCGTGGCCGCATTAATCTTAAGAGTTACCAACTCCCCATCTCCTAAAATCAGCCTGTCAGCGTGCATCATCTGCCTTAAATAGCTTATATAGTCGTAATCCTGTGGGCATGCAGAGAATAAAACTGCATGTGGGCTGTAATTGCTTTAAGATGCTACCGTATTAGCAGCTGGCTGCAGAGCTGCATGAAACCCACGATGCCACAGTATATGTTAAAGGGCATGGGTGCAATGACAAAATCTAAATCGCATGAAATCCCAGCAGACGAGTATAAACATCGTGCTTGCCGCCTCGCGTCAATTGTGACAACGCAATGAGTAGGTAAGGACTTAATTTCAGCCAGAGCTGTCTGGGACTGAGCTCCTGAAAATATTTACCCCTACCAACATATACTGTGGGGGGGGGGGGGGGGTACAGAATATATTCCATGCAAAATGAAGCCCTGGCGCAGACCAATGGAGCTAAATAGACGTGCTTGTATGTTTAGAACTACATTGCAAGACATAATAAGGAACATTAATTCGACAAGACACGCAGGTTAATTACATATTTCGACATGTTACAAAAAGTGGGCATGAGCAGAACACACTCCCAGAAGGGATAATGGCCGATTGTCAAGACATGATGGGAAGTGGCAGCCTAGGATATGAACATGTTCAAAAGTTGTGCGAGGAGATGGAGCGGTGAAATCAACTCAGGTGCAAATGTTGTTTTATTACACCACAGGATCGTGAGAGACGGCGAAAGCTCGGAGAGGCCTTCATCCAGCAGTGGATCGATAAAGGCTGATGAGTGCTACATTCGAGGCTTGAAGGATATACAGTTCAGTAGCCTACATATAGGATATCCCATGTCAACACGAGGGACACAATCTGGCGGTTGCCTTTACTGATGTTAATTATTGACGAGAACGACTGCTCTGTGCATTGCTACGGCCCTTAACTCCACATTGGCATTTTTATGAAGCGGTTTTTACCTCGCCTGGTTTATGGATTTTTTGCATTTCACATTAATTCGCATGTTTTCACGTGCGTTTCAAAATAATATTATTTTCGCACCTAGCTATATAAAATTGATCTTAGTTATGATGTATGTTAAGTCTATGTCGAGTCGATCAACGCAATACGTGGAAACATTGCTTTAACGCAGTGGTTCTTAACCTGGGGTGCCCTTTGTGGGGGTGCGAGACATTCCATGTTTTTTAATAACCAAGTAAGCACGGGCACGTAAGTACAACTACTTTGTTTCATCAAACCTATGTATTTATTAACATTATACATTTGTTTACGATTGAGAATCAAAGGGGTGCAGAGGCTGCAGTAAAGGTTAAGAACCCCTGCTTAGTGTATAACTATGGTATAATAAACTAAGCGAACTTATAATATCACGGTTAGATGAATGTCTACCGATGCTCATGTCGGCGATGGGGGGTATTTGTTTGGCCTTGCTTCACCACACTAGTCAGTGCGGGTTGGTCAAGGATAGAAGACAATGTATAATAGGCTACTACTGCAATTAAACATGGTTAGAGATTCATTTTAGCTACTCTAAACAACGCCAAGAGTACTGTAACAGCAAAATGCAGCATAAAGCACGTAATCGTATGAAAGGTGTGATTTTATAAATCGCTGTCTAGAATGGAGAGGCAAGAGGAAGTCAGACAATGGAATGATATAAATTATCAACGGAAATGTATTGTTGCGCTCTACACCGCATTGTAAATCAAGGATGCAAGACCTCACGACCAAACTGGGTTTGATTTAATTTATAATTAGCACGTACATTAACTATGCATTGTTGCCTACAGTGCAACATCCCTTTTGTCAATACACTGTTGGATGACGGCCTTCACCACTAAACAATACAAGATCCCGAATAAGCCTGTAATTATGCATGACTGCATATTCGGCATAACTAAACGGTTGCATAAACGGTCATAAAAGGCGCTCAAATGGTACATTTTGTTCACAGAAAACGCATACAAAAAATGTTGGTGGGTATTTATAGATGCATATATTCCATCAGTAGCTGACTGAACGTTAGTTTGCGTCGTGTGGCAGTTCCTAATACCAATAGTGAATACTGCTGTGAACACGTCTGGTACACGCATTTAGAGTTTGCCATATACACACTCGCACCATTACCAATTAAAGTGTATTCAAATACCGTGTGATAGTCTAGGCTTAAGAAACACTCGATCGGTTCCGAAGTGAATTGCGTGCGCATCAAAGGCCGTTTCCATTGAACGCACTTCGCCCTCTGCTGTCAAAGAACGGGTACTGAAAACCCCACTGGCGCTTCGTCGCTCGAGTTGGCGGATTTTTCAAAGTTTACATGACTTTAACATCGTACATAAGCAGTAAATATTTAACTTAAAGTACGGAGCAATGTATCACTGCCCTCTTTTTTGCATCACCGCCGCCTTTTTTTGCATCACCAACTGGTTTAGACCTCGCATGAATAAACTACTTAACACCATTTAACTGCTTGCTTATGCAACGACACGTATCATGCAGATAATGCATATACAATTTAATCCACACTTAACACGTGGTGTTTTATCGCATGCAGCTACAGAATTTAAATCGCATTTCATGAATATTTCCATTGAATAAACACTATTAAAGGGCAATGTGACCCAATGTGACCGCATATTTATCTAATTTAAAAATGTACTCAAAAGGAAACTGGTAGGTGCATATCCTTTACATAAAGTGTGTCAATAGACACTATATTACACGCAATAGTTATCACCTTACAAAGCATATGCAATTTAATCAACTAATCATGAAAGGTGACGAGAAAAGCAACATGAATAAATGTACCAAGGTTATTAAAATAAAATAGGAATAAAAGGTTAAACTTTATTTCCAATCCCAGGGACATGTCCAAAGGCACATTGTTTGAAATTTAATACAGCAGTTTCACTTTTATTTCACATTATAAAAAAGAGCCAGACCATTATATTATGGCCTAAACATATATTTTACAATTGTAATTCAAACTCCATTGTATTCATTTTGGTGTTAATACATGTGCAAAAAATGTGCTCTGATTAAAATTCCGGTTGGCTCACTTTTCAATGTGAACTAAAAATGGAACCATAATATTTATGGACAAACAACTTACATACACATTTCACTTATTGCTACAATATTTTAAACAAATACAAGCGATACCTCTGACTTGCATGTGTGGACATAAAGGTGCATATTCTGAAAATTAGAACCCGGTTAAAACACATCCCATAATATATTATACATAGCTTAAAGGTTCTATTTATTTTGTTATAGGTCATTTTAAAGAACACTTTATATTTCTGTTTCTTTGGCAGGCGAAGGCTTCTGTAAATCCTTTGCATTTCCTTTTACCTCTTCTTTACCAACTTCCTTTGCTGACCTGGATTCTTTCCCAGCATCCTTGGCTGATGGTACATTCTTCCCAGAAGCCTTCACTTGCTCCCCCTTCCCAGAATCCTTTGCAATCTGTGTTTCATCAGAATTCTTTGTCGCGCTATCATCTTTGCAAACGTTCTTCACAGGTTGTACCACTTTAACAGCTTCTTCTGCTGCGAGAGCATCCTTCCCAACATCTTTTGCAGCATCCTGCAAAATAAAATAGTTAAACGCTTAAAATCACAAAACTTTCAGGCACTAAATTCAAGAGCTATATATAATAGATGACGGCCAACATTTGCACAAATACATGAGAGATGGCGGACAGAAATTGCACACCTTCGCATTTGCGATTCCTGCCATTGATGCTTCCTTTCCCACATCCTTTACAGGTTTTGGGTCCAGAGGAGCATCTGCAGGTGACTTGGCCACTTTAGAATCTGCCGAAATCTCTGCAGGAGACCGAGCTGCAGCTCTGTTGTCTGCTGCATCGATGGCAACAGCGGATTCCAACTTGAGTTTGTTGGGTGCAACAGCGATGACGGCTGATGCATCTGGAGAGAGCTTGGTAGTTTCTCCAGCGGCCGCCTCCTCTTGGCACTGCTCTTGCCTGTTCCGCTGAGACTTAAGAAGGCGGATCTGCACCCGCAGCTCTATAATGGCCTCCCTCTCCTCGTGGATGGCTTGATTCAAGTGGTTATTCTTGATCTGTGAAAAATGTCAAAATGTTTGCACAAAATAGTACACAAATATTAACATTTGTATATTGCCTTCAAAACAAAAAAATCACCTATGTCAAAATAATGTACTCTGTATTTCATTGCTGGGCATAGGCTAGAGTTCACAGTTTCAGTTTTCAGTTTCAGTTTATTTAGTTTGGTATCGCCCTGTGAGCCATTCGGCTCTTGAATCGAGTGCAACCACAACAAAAAAACAAAAACACGAACAAGAAAAACATCTTAAAGTGACTATGTGACTGTGCAAAACAGAAAATCCATGAAAAAAACCAGCAAAATATTCCTGAAAAAAAGCACCATACACCAATACTGTGTGCAAAAAATCCCAGTGGAAGAAAACTTAGATTAAGGCCATCAGTCTAACTCCATACTACAACAAAACAAACATGTCCAAACCAATAAACGTTTTCGAAATCACCAAAAAATAAAGCCATAATTGCAACGTAACAGTGATCACAGGGACTGTGACCGAATTTTTACAATAAACTACATAAATAACACCAAATCCTAGAGCCATAGCTGGCTGCATGAGTTACTCCATAACAACAGAAGCATCAGTCGGAGTATCAATTTTTTCAATGCACCTTTAAGATCAGCACACAATCAAAATACAGATAATACTTTGGAGCGTCATCTGGAGCGAAACATTTTATTTTATTTTACGCCAATAGCAGTGGCAGCTAGGGGTGTACAACTCCTCTAGAGCAGTTTTGAGAGAAGATCTCATTGGTAGCGATTCAAGTTGCAGTTTATTGGCAATAGCATTCCAGACCCTGGGCGCATCAATAGCAATGCCCTTCCTCCAGTTTGTGTACAACAATAGGGAATGTGAAGCTGGTAAATGAGCGAAGACCTGAGGTCAAATTTGTTCTTTGAAACAGAGAGGAGATCCAGCAGGTAGTCTGCGGATTTTTTTGTAAGTACATCGTGAATAAATAAGATCTGGTGCACAAGCCGTCGAACATTAAGAGATGTTAAGTTTGACCCAAAGTAGAGATCACAGTGGTGAGTCCTATATGGGCAGTTCAATGTAAATCTTAAGGCCGAGTAATATATGGAATCAAGCTTCTTCAGTATAGTACTTGGGGCTGATTTATACACAATGTCACAGTAGTCAATTCCAAACGGAACATTTGGGGGAAGCAGTGCTTGTGTCGATACAGAAAACCAATTTTAATTTTCGTCTTTTTACCAATATAATCAATGTGATCTTCAAAATTCAGTTTTGAATCCAGGATGACCCCAAGATACTTATAGATCTTGACTTGCTCTATTTGATAATTATTCAAGGAATTAAAATTGGGGAAAAATAACTTCCTGCTTTAGTCCTGGTGAGAAGCATAGCACCTTGGTTTTGGAGGTATCAGGACTAGTTTAAGAGCAACTAGCTGATGTTGTAGTTTGTTGAAATCACCCTGTAGCTTAGCAATCACGTCATCCGGAGAGCGGCCAGCAGTAATCAGTATCGTGTCGTCTGCAAAAAGATTTACCCTGGAATGATCCAGGTCAGTGCCCAAGTCATTGACATAAAGAGAGAACAAAAGGGGGCCGAGGATGGAACCCTGTGGAACCCCTTTTGTTTTCTTAACACTGTTTAACCTCCAACCATCTATGAATACAGTTTGGGTGCGAGAAAAGAGGTAATTTTGTAACCATTTTACTGCGTTTTCAGAAAAACCGAGGCAACTTAGTTTACTAAGCAGGGTGTTGTGGTCTACTGTATCAAAAGCTTTGGACAGGTCTAGAAAAAGACAGGCACAGTACTGCTTATTATCAAGGCTACTGTAAATGTGATTCAGAGAGTCTAATGCAGCAGATGTGGTGCTGCATTTTTTTCTGAACCCAGATTGTTTTAGATGTAGTAGATTGTTGGTGGACAGGAAACTGCTAATTTGGTAGGTCAATAATTTTTCAAAAATTTTCATCAACGGGGACAAAATTGAGAAAGGTTGGTAGTTATTTGGATCATCTTTAGGGCCCCCTTTGTAAAGTGGACGGACATAGGAATGTTTCCATTCTAGAGGAATTGATGCTTCTTTGATGGACAGGTTGAAAATATGGGCTATTGGTTTGTATATTAGGTGACCAACAGTTAGTAGAGCAAAGATGGGAATACTATCTGCTCCAGTAGAGGAGGACCCTTTGAGGTAGGACAGTTGTTTCAGAACATTACTTTCGTGGATTGGCTGGAATCTAAATTCGTTTAATGTGTGGACAGGGGTGTAGGAATTTGCATGAGCAGGGGTGACTCCCAATACATTATCAAAAAAGATTACCAGCTTCAGAAAAATAAAGGTTAAAACTGTCAACGATTTTTTTGGGGATCTGAAAAATATTCCCCATTTCGGTTAAGCTCAACGGGCAGATTGCCTGTTTTGGATGCCTTTTCGATACATTTGATTGTATTCCAGAAAATCCTGGCATTTCCATGTGATTCCAGGAGAGTGGAGGAAAAGTAGGCATTTTTTGCATGCCGTATTTTTTTGACGCATCTATTCCTTATAATCCTGTATTCTAGCCAGTCATTGACCAAATTACATTTCTGAGCACATGCCCAAGCCTTGTCCCTAGTTTTCATGAGCTTTGTAATCAAAGGATCAAATCATGGTGGGCGGTTGCCTTTAGTTTTAAACCTAACCAATGGAGCATGCTTGTTAAGAATTTGGAGAAACGTGTACCTGAAGGTCTCCCAAGCCATAGTCAGGTTAGAGATATCACAGACCTTGTCAATATCCGAGTGAAGCACATCATTAGCAAATGCCTGAGTGCTGAAGTGTCTCATAGAGTGCTTCTCAACCAATTTAGGGGGGCTTTGGGTCTGGCTGATGATCTCACCCCAAAAATGAAGGAGTGATCACTAAGGTTATTACCCAGAACACCAGTCAGTGTGAAATTGTGAGGGGCATTTGTCAATAGGACGTCAAGCAGAGATGACTGTCCCGGATTTTTTAGGTTGGGTCTTGTGGGGACATTTATTAATTGAAACAGATTAAATTCATCTGCAAAATTTGTTGCCACGGCTGGCGGGTTTAGACAATTCCAATTTAGATCACCCACTAAAACTATTTCACCTTTAGGGAGGCTCCCAAAAAGCTCTCTCAGTGCAGATGCAGCTTCAACATCCTTTCCACTAGGCGGTCGATAGCAGCACACTACCAATATCTGTTGATTATTTGGGAGAGTTATTCTGAGAGCCAGACCTTCAAAGCAACATTTTTTAAACAAGGAGTGAGCTAGTGAACATGCAATAGTATTACAAACATAGATGGCAATTCCACCTCCTTTAGATCCTCGGTCAAGCCGAAAAAGGTTGTAGTTGTCAATCGCAATCTGCAAGTCATTGACAGCAGAAGTGAGAAATGTTTCTGTTAGGCAAAAAATGTCCGGGTCAAGATTTGCCACTTCTAGTTTTAGTTGACTTAATTTAATCACAAGCCCTCTGATGTTGACATGTAGAACACCAACACCTTTCCTGCCAGAAAAATCTACAGAATTATATGAGTTATTTTCATTTGGGCCAGGATGAAGCTCAATACCACCCAGAAATAAGAAAAGTAGAATTAATAGTTTGCACAAGTATTTTCTGTGAAAGGATCAAGAGCGGCGAACCTTGGACGAATAGCAGTAGCTCGCAGATGGTGTTATTTTTTTTAACATGTAGGCTTTCAGAGCCACTCGCAATCCAAGTATGATAGTCTGGGTTAGGCTGCGTGTTGAGCATTATGTGGGTAGATACCACATGAGATTTCTCAAGTCAGTTGCTGACGATGCCCACAGTAGTGTGTCGAAAGCTTGAGAAAGGTAAGGCTTTACAAAGGGCTTAGCCTGGAATGCCACACTCAGAACCCTGTGTTGTTACAATCAAGCCAAAATACTCAAATTCTTGTACACTGCAATGACTTACCTCAAGTTCCTCATTTTGCCGAATTAAATCATCCAGAATCAGCTGCAGCTCCTCCTCGTCCTCACTCTCACTTTCACTGTCCGAGCTGTAATCTTCTGTCTCACTGCGCACCTGTTGTCGACTACCTCGTCACACACAAGGAAAGCACACACGTTCCTTCCTTAGAATTCAATAAGAACATGCCAGGAAATGCATGATGAATTTTATCAGTTCACATGGGTGTTATCGTATAAATATATTCTTACAACAAAGTGTTGGCTCCCTCCAGTCACTATCCAATGACTTGGGGGAGCAGTGATGTAACGGTTAGTGCATTGTGCTAGAAACCCAGCCACCTTAGTTTTATTAAAAGCATTGTGCACTATTCACTGCAAAATCACTCAAGTATGGTCTAATTAAATCTCAATTATTTACACGGCGTTTATCCAGCAATGGCTTGACAAAAAGCTCTAAAGATGAACTAAATCATGATTAAACTATTTCAGCTACAGGAAGGATCACGATTTTGTAACTCTAACTGGTGTCATGTGAAAACCAATATCTGTGGAGAGGCCCTCACCTCTGTATCTCTGCAATTTCAGCCCGCAGTCGTTCTATCTCCTCCTTCTCAGCGGCCATCTTTCTCCGCAGCAACTGCTCCATGGCGAGCAGCTCCTCCTGTTCTGTCAAAACCTCATCCTCCTGAAGAATAAGCAGTGGAAGATCACCAATGTCCATTATTTTAAAATCATACATTTACAACATTGATTTATCTTACTTAATGAGTTCATTTTCAAGCCGTGGCTAACAACCAGTGGCAAGTGATATCTGAACCAGTCCTACTCCCCAGCTTCACCAACCTATACTGATCAGCATCAAGAATGGCAAACCCTCCTGAAACACATTCGAAAATGTACATTTTGTGATGTTATCTGACAATTAGAGGTGGAGCGGTCACACAGTGGTTAGCCAACCGCACTATGAAACTGGCATCCAAATGTTATTCTCATCCACGACTCATACTGACCAGCGTAAAGTATGGTCAAACATCCCCCATGACCATCACAGCGTGGGGAGGCCTTCAGCAATGGATTGTCAAAGGACTGTAAAGTAAAGTAAGTATATAATCAATGTACATACCTGTGCTATGAGTATGTTGATCACTTCCTCTTCATTTTCTGTCATTTCCTCCTTTGAAACATCCTCTTTTGATAGGCTGGCAATCTCTTGAGCTATCTTTTCTTCGCAGTCCTTAAAACACATGTAATGCACATGTCCAGTGATTACAGATGTAAACGATCTCTTCCTTTAGTGTTTTAATATACGTCTGCTGTACAGAATATTACTTTTTGGAATGGTACATCTTGCACACTTCTCACCTGTCGTTTGACCTCACGGAGTTTGCGTTTAAGGGCTGTCAGGATTCTTTGAACCTCCCAAAGCCTTTCCTCCTTCCCAGAGTCCTTAACACCAGCTTGCAAGTCACTGTGTAACCTGTTCAGCATGAATTCCTATGCGCAATAAAATAACAATGTTATTTGGCATAGCATGAACACTTTAAGGATGTAATGTCTATACAATAGCATAATTAAATGTGTTACACATGCACCATAAATTGGCATTGTATTACCAGCCAATCAAACAATGTGGACTAAAGACAAGCTTTTATAATGGGTTCATGGTGAACAGCAAGGGTGATAATGTATTTCTATTTATGTAAAATGTTACTAATAAAAAAACAATATGGTAAGTTGTTTTATAACTTTTAATATTTGAGCCATATCAACGATCACCTACTGCATCATGAGCTATGTCTAATTTACAGCTGCAATTCTAACCTGTCTCCGGATCTCTTCTTTGATATTTTCTTGGCTCTCTGGGAAGTTTGGAGCATTTGCCAGGTTGGACCAACGAAGTGGCCTGATTGCAGAATTCAGATTCACGTTCTTAAACAGGTCATTCACATTCATAAAAAACATATAAAGCAGTCGGTGGCTTATCTGTAAGAAAACACCAAAAAATTGGTTAATTGAAATCCGGTTTTTTTCATTTTCAGGACACAATAAGCAACAGTATATGCTTGGCCAAAGCATTATTACGCACCTGTGTTGTAGGGTGCAGGACAATAGAAATGCCTTGCACATTCATCTTATTGTCACTCTCATGCAGCACCACATGGTCCATGTGGACCATGAGCCAGGAGAGGAGATGGCGATTGAATTTGGGAAGCTCTGCCAAAAGTCGCTTGCACTCAGCCAGCCGATCTTCAACCAAAGGACGGCTGCAGGCTTCCTCAATTTTAGGGTGGAGCTCTCGTGTCAACAAACTCTCTGGAAGCTCGCGCAGATACTGTTTCAGCACACTTGCAACTGTGTGAGGGTCATAATCTTCAAGGTTGGGAGACTCCTCGCGATCATATATGGCCTTCAATTCATCTACCTTCGACTTTATTCCTGCAATTGACAAAGGCCTCCATTAGCATGTTGAATAAATAACATCTTATTATCAGTGTAAGTTATTTTTATCTGAAAATTGTGTGCTACACGCTGATACTTTGTAATCTAAATCTTTATATTCCAATATGCAGACACAAGTGAGCGTGTTTTGAAACTCACCAGAAACCCTGTAGATGCCTTCACACTTGAGGCCATTACGTTCAATGTAGTCGATGCACTCTCGGCACACAGCTGGCAAGGGCACGCCGTCGTAGAGGGCAGTGCGATGCACAGCCTCCTCCAATGTGGCACCAAAGATGGGACCAGGCTTGGGCCCCACAACCACCTCTACCTCGGGCCAATCCTGCTCGGGTACAGCCAAGACACTGGCCTTCTTTTTCTTCTTGCTTTTCTGTTGCTTATCCTTCTTGGGGAGTTTTACAACGTCTGCCACAGCCTGCTATGACAAGAAAATGTGTGTTTGTTGTATTGTCCATAACAGCGTACATCCTGTATTACCATATACAAATTATGTAAAGTAATTTTTGATCAATTAACTTCGTTAAAATACATTTCTTTGAAATAAATATATATATATTTTTAAACATAAGCATCTAACCGTTCGCTCCTTGACTTTCTTTTCCTTTTGTTTCTCTTCCTTGGGCTTCTCCTCTTTGACCTTTTCCTTAATGCGGAATTCCTTATCTTTTTTTTTGGAGAAGCTGGGCTTTTTAAATACTTGGATACCCTTGGACTTCTTCACTTTGGTAGGTGACTCTGCTTCATCTGCTGAACTGTCTTCCTGGAAAGCCGCATATCCCTCAGCTGGCCCAAGGAACACACATTTTCACACAAAGCAGGGAAATTAAAACCAAGAAAGCCCATCTGCATACGTATGCATATTTACAACACTCTGTCTATGTACTGATGGATTAAGGCCTCCCCATACCCTACTGGTCATGGGATTTTAAACCATATTTTGCCCTGCTGGTGAATGTAGGCTGAAGGGTGGGGGGGGGGGAATCCCACTGATCAATGTGGGTTGAAGGGAGACACCCAGGACAAGTGCACCACTTGGTATTGTCAGTCATGGACTTGAATCTAACTCAGGGAGCCAGGTTCATCGTGCAGTCCGCTGACCACTGCACCACTGTTCTACCCAAATACCTAAATGTGTTACTTATAAAACTGAAGTCAAAAAGGCAAATGTGTATTACTGCTCATATTAGCAATGAGTTGATGCTCATCTTCAAGAGCGGCCCTTATCTTTTTATTAAAATTATAGATTCTTACGACGGGGTTAGTTTATGTGTAGAAGAACCAAAATGGGGAAATAACAAGAGAACTGACTTCTCTTCTCTTTCTTCTTGAACTTGCTCTTCTTCTTGGCGTGCTCGCGCTCCTCATCAGAAGGGACCTCCCCAGGGAGATGGCTGCCGTCTGTGAGTCCCGTGGGCTCAGTGAGGCGGTAGAGACCCGGGAACTTTGTAGGGCTAACTTCCTCAAAGCTGGGGCTGCGAGTCATGCCTGAGCCCTCGGCCGCCCTGCGGTTCTCGGCTGGGCTGCCTGGTGCTGGCAGGAAGCACTCAGCCATTGCCCCCCTGTTAAGATGCAACACAAAATTACATATCTGTTATTTAATAGACATGTAAATAAACTGTGCATCACGGGCTGTCTCATGTGAGTTTAATAATATAACATTTTATACAGCGTCGTGCAAAACTACATCTCACAACGCTGTACAAGGCAAAAACAAAAAATATAAATATATTGCAAAAAAGTAGCACACCAAAACCAAGGTCTACTCAAAGGCCGTAGTAAACAAAAGGTTTTTAAATGGGACTTAAATAGAGAAAGGGGCTTAAGTTGATTAATATTAATGAGCTTAATTAATTAAAACAACTACTTGAAAGTCTTGTGCAGGGTGTCTGCTATTCAACATGTATTAATGGTAAAAATGGTCATGCCAATACTAAACTATTAATTTTAATTAAAAAAATAATTAATATGCCAATAAACTGTTCAACATATGCTGTTCATTTGTAAAACTGTTAATGTACTAAAAACTGTCCATATATCAATGACAATGATTGATTGGGGTCACAATATTGAGCCTACAACGCTGAGTACCCAGGTTCAAATCAGAGTTTCAGCGTAAATGACTGAACCGGTTTCACAAGTTTAGCGAGTTGATGGCGTTACAAGTATTACAACTGGGTTTTCACGTAAAACTGGCAAAACTCCAGTTCTGAGAAACACAACAAAGATACAAAACCATTTCGGTTCGCCTGCCATGCGACACACATCTCCATGGAACAAATATATATACAGCAGGGCGTCTGAAAAAATGCAGCATTCCGAGTGAATATCCCTTGAAAGGATCCCAGAAGCAGTTCAATGATATGTGTCTGCAGGCCATTCTATCGTGGTGGTGCACTGCTCACTACGAGAATTTTGATGGCACAATTGGAATAGGCGTATGTTGTTTTTATCGATCACACACCAAATGTTTTCATGTAAACATTTCTCAAAGTCGTCAGTGCAACACACTGAAGTACAATCTCCCATGCGTGTAAGAGTGCACGGTATAAGCTAAACTATCTGCGATAATGCAGGGCCACTTCCAAGAACCTCGGTCTATTACACGTGAATGTTTCATTGCAGTTTTCAGTTTCATTTATTTGGTATGGCCCTGTGAGCTCTTCGGCTCTTGAATCGGGTGCAAACGCAACAAACAAAAACACGAACAAGAAAACATCTTAAAGTGACTATGCGACTGTGCAAACAGAAAATCCAGGAAAAAAAACAGCAAAATATTCCAGAAAAAGCACCGTACACCAAACGCTGCGTGCAAAAATCCCAGTGGCAATCAAACAACAACAACCACAAGACAACTTTAGATTAAGGCCATCAGTCTAACTCCGTACTACAACAAAGACGTGGCCAAACAAAAAAAACGTTTTCGAAATCACCAAAATAAAGCCATAAAGCAATGTAACAGTGATCATATATCATCATACTGGTACGCAGCCCTGTCAACGCACAGATGATGCAGGCTTCGTCACACCGTGAGTTACGGGGCTGGTTTAGCGTACTTCACCACAGTGGGCAGCTTGTGTGTGTTTGTGTGTGTGTTTTTGTGTGTGTGTGTTTGTGTGTGTTTTTGTGTGTGTGTTTGTGTGTGTGTTGTGAACGGGAATGCCGAGGCGAGGGACCGGGCTCGCAAATCACTCGCCCGCTGATGTTAATTGTGGCCGGTTATCGAACTCAGGCGCCGGATTCATAGGGCGGCGCACGAAACAACCGCTGCCAATCATATATTACACTCACTGTTACACTTTCTAATCTTGTACTTGTACACACACCGCGTCCAAGACGATCAATTAAAAACACGTTTAAACGTTTACATTTAAACTAAAATACAAACACCAGGCCCGATTCAGGCATGCGGGGTTTCCTAGAAACCGTGCCCAGCGAAACGTCGCGCTGGTTATAAACACAACATACAAAACGAGCACGGCTCCGTCGACACGACGATATAACGAGTAATCCGAAGACGTATCTTGTATCATCAACAGAATTCGCGATACCACTATTAACGTTGATGGTGGTGGTGATGATGATGCAGGGAAGTAAACACCGTGAAGACTTTACCAGCCGCCGCCTTCCCACCAAGAGGGGTCGTATCGATTCGTAGATTCCCGTGGTCTCGATACTTGCATCGATCCGCGCGAAGTGTAATAAATCGATTCTCCTTAATTCCACTTGCAATTACGGAGTGTGCAATGCTGAAAATAATATATGAATTTCTAAAATTGTGATATGGAAACGGAAAACATACTCTACGGATCGTGTATGTTCATGTTGAGCCTTGCAGGGTTTCTTATCGAGAAAATAATGCGAATCGATTCCTTTTTCAACGATACTTCTAAATATATCGTTACGTGTATAAGAATCAATAATTTCACACCACTGCACATTTCGTACGGCATTTCTTTAGACCGACACTCGGAAGGAACGAACGAACGAAGCGGCGCAAACTAGACTACGTTACAAAACTGGGACAATACGTACAAACAAGACAGCAGAGAATCGATGCCAAATAAGCAAACCAGTGGATCGATAGGAAAATGAATCGTTCCGTCTTTCGCCTGGCTGTCGCCTGATGAAGCTGGTTGTAATTACTGGCGAAACGTCGTACTCAGATTGTAAATGTTCAGGATTTGCTCTCCAACACAAGGGTGTTGCTGTACTAGTAACGAATTGGCCACGTTCTGTTATTGATTTGGCTGTGTCGGGTGGTGACGGGTTTAACGACACATTTATATGTACGCGATCTGACCCCAAAAAACCCCCCCTCTATTATGAATGATATTGGTCGCGAAAGTCTACGTGTTAAACAGACTGTCACAACCCCTGGGGTGGCACAGTCCCTGGGGGCTCCGCTCTAGGAGGTTATAAAAGATAATAATATAAAAATGTAGGTTTCACAGAACACATGAACACAGCCTCAGTATATTGTGAGAAAAAAAACTAATAATTCCCCTAATACGAGCCTGTCAACCCCTTATCAGTGCCCTACCTTAGTACAGACCAACTCAGACCTTATTGGCCATCCCGTGCAACTTATAAATCTATACGTTCATCCTACAAAGTCCCATCACAAGGGGGAAACACAAACAATAACAAAAATCACCACCAGTACACTCACCACCACTACACTCACCACTAGTACACTCACCACCACTACACTCACCACCACTACACTCACCACTACTACACTCACCATTACACTCACCACCACTACACTCACCACCAGTACACTCACCACCACTACACTCACCACCACTACACTCACCACTACTACACTCACCATTACACTCACCACCACTACACTCACCACTAGTACACCAACCACCACTAGACTCACCACCAGTACACTCACCACTACACTCACCACCACTACACTCAGCACCAGTACACTCACCACTACACTCACCACCACTACACTCAGCACCAGTACACTCACCACTACATTCACCACCACTACACTCACCACTACACTCACCACCACTACACTCACCACCAGTACACTCACCACTACTACACTCACCAGTACACTCACCAGTACACTCACCACCACTACACTCACCACCAGTACACACACCACTACTACACTCACCACTACACTCACCACCACTACACTCACCACCAGTACACTCACCACTACTACACTCACCACCAGTATACTGACCACCAGTACACTCACCACCACTACACTCACCACTACACTCACCACTAGTACACTCACCACTACACTCACCACCAGTACACTCACCACTACACTCAGCACCACTACACTCAGCACCACTACACTCACCACCACTACACTCACCACTACTACACTCACCACTACACTCACCACCAGTACACTCACCACTACTACACTCACCACCACTACACTCAGCACCAGTACACTCAGCACCAGTACACTCACCACCAGTACACTCACCACCAGCACACTCACCACTACTACACTCACCACCACTACACTCACCACTTCTACACTCACCACTACTACACTCACCACTACACTCACCACCAGTACACTCAGCACCAGTACACTCACCACCAGTACACCCACCACTACTACACTCACCACCACTACTCACCACCAGTACACTCACCACTACTACACTCACCACCACTACACTCAGCACCAGTACACTCAGCACCAGTACACTCACCACCAGTACACTCACCACCAGCACACTCACCACTACTACACTCACCACCACTACACTCACCACTACTACACTCACCACTACTACACTCACCACCAGTACACTCACCACCAATACACTCACCACTACACACACCACCACTACACTCAGCATCAGTACACTCACCACCAGTACACCCACCACTACTACACTCACCACCACTACTCACCACTGGTAAACTCACCACTACTACACTCACCACCACTACTAACCACCAGTACACTCACCACTACACTCACCACCACTACACTCACCACCACCACACTCACCAGCACTACACTCACCACCACCACCACACTCACCACCAGTACACTCACTACCACTACACTCACCACTACCACACTTACCACTACTACACTCACCACCACTACACTCACCACCAGTACACTCTCCACTACCACACTCACCACCACCACCACCACACTCACCCCCACTACACTCACCACCAGTACACTCACCACCACTACACTCACCACCACTACACTCACCACCACTACACTCACCAGTACACTCACCACCAGTACACTCACCACTACCACACTCACCACCACCACACTCACCACCAGTACACTCACCACCAGTACACTCACCACTACCACACTCACCACCACCACACTCACCACCACCACACTCACCACCACCACACTCACCACCACCACACTCACCACCAGTACACTCACCACCACCACACTCACCACCACCACACTCACCACCACCACACTCACCACCACCACACTCACCACCACCACACTCACCACCACCACACTCACCACCACCACACTCACCACCACCACTACACAAGGGTTGTGGACGGGGCACGCGGAGGGGCACGCGGGGTGGTGGGGGCGGGGCTATCCGATCACGTGACGCTCCCGGCGTGCACCGCGTGCAAGGTGGAGCAACATGGCCGTCGCCGCTGGGCTCCGCGTGTTTGGCCTGGGCCGCCGTCTTCTCCCCGCGATGGCGCGGCCCTCGCCCAGGTACCTCGCCCGCGCGCGACCCCCTCTGACTCGCCCCGCTTAGCTGCTCACCGTAGCGGAGTTTCATCCCTGGCCTCCCCCCGAAACAAGTCTGGAGCGCTGCCCCTACAGCGCGGTCGGCACTCACGTGTAAGGTCATTCGCCGGCATTGAAGTTAGGGAGGGAGCGAGGCTTTAGGTCAGCTCGTAACCCCTTAAACCCCACTGACTACAGCTGCGCGGGTCCTCACTTCCAGACGTGTGAGGCTGTTTCGGACACACGTTGAATCCTCTTGATCACTCATTCACGTACCCGTGACGAGAGCTGGGGGGGGGAGGAGTGCGTGTCGAGGTGATCCGGTTATAACTTTATTTTCCTCATTATTTTGCGATACTGCTTTGGCAGTGGTGTACAACCCAAATTAATAAACAAGTCAACACATTCGTCAATAATATTGCCTTGAAAATAGTATATCATAGGCCACGTTGCGGGCAATGGCCCGTCATGGGTATGGATGGTCCACTCACCCTTCATGTAACCCATTCACTAACCTCAGGAGCCTCGGCCCCTCTACCCCTCCACTCATCGTCACCTATACGGACTAGGGGTTGTCTTCAGTGGTTCTGCGCTAATTTCTATTCGCATATAAGCTACGGACACTCAGCTCTTCTCTTCAAAGGTTCCCCAATAAACGTCGTGACACTGGCAGATTCCGGTCATGGCTTGAAATTGTCGTCTTGCGTCATTGGCACGGGCTGGCCTGAAGTGATGCGAAAGCGAGTTTTGGAAATCGTGCGATTTAAAGGCTACGTAATAAATGATACAGATTTAGGCATGGATGATTTGGCCTTAGGTCCATACCCAACAAAGTATCATAACATTTATACCGGAAAATGTTCCGATGTTTAAATGAAACCAGAGATTAATGTAACTAGCGTTGTTCTTTGGCACGGAGTTAGGGTCACCTAAACTTAATTGGACAATATGCTCGAATTCATGAGACGCATCATTTGCGTTGATGCGGCATTTAAATGTTGGTATTTAGATATAAGAAAAAAGGACGAAATGTATAATGTCAGCGTTGTATATAACCAATCCATTATCGTTTTTTTTAGCCTTTTGCGTCGCAGGGATATGGCGCTGCGTGGATTATGCGTGGCATCGCAACAGCAGAACAAGAACAGCACGGAACAACAGTCGAGCGGAGACGCGCCGTCAGGGAGGGTAGAGGAAACAGCAGCCGGAGACAAGACCGCGCAGGAGATCGCCGCCCTCGAGGAGAAAACCAAGCTCGAAGAGCAAGTCAAAGATCTGACGGTACGTGAGGGGTGATTCTAGTGAATGCTGAGATGTGCCCAACTCCAGGAGAATTTGTAGAGCAGTCCTTAAATAAGCAACACATCCTTACATTACTGGTAGGGTTGGGGGAGGGCGGTTTCAGGAAACTTCTCATACAAGCATATGTGAGAAGCACTGTGTTTGTCTTCAATGGGTATGCCGATCCAACTTACATATTTTAACTGTTAGCATGAAAACCCCTCCCCCAATGTGTTCCACTCCTGTCCAACTTGCTACTCCAAATCTTCTCTCATCCCACCAATTCATTTGTCTGCCTCTTTTTCCCTCCATTGGCTTCCATTCAATTGTTAATTTTCCCTGTTTTATGTCCTAATGAGGTCTCCTGCCCAAATCTTTTTATGTCAGACAAGATCTATTGAACCATAGATTAGGTTTGCCATTAACACTCAATTTCATTCAGGATCGCTATAAGCGTGCACTGGCGGACACTGAAAATGTGCGACGACGGAGCCAAAAGATGATCGAAGATGGCAAGATATTCGGTAACAGTAGCACTACCATCCACAGCACAATGGGTTAAGTTGCTTGGTTGATTTTGTCTCAAGAAGGGCACAGTATTGTGTACCGATATGGAACTTGTTATTTTGCAGGCATTCAAAGTTTCTGCAAGGACTTGCTTGAAGTTGCAGACATCCTTCAGAAGGCAACGGAGAGTGTTCCCAAGGAAGAGCTAAATGACGCCAACCCACATCTGAAGAGTTTATACGAAGGTCTGATTCTCACCGAGAGCCAGCTGCAGAAAGTGTTCACCAAGCATGGGCTGGTTCCTCTAAACCCCATTGATGCCAAGTTTGACCCTTATGAGCACGAGGCGCTCTTCCAGGTGCCCATGGAAGGCAAGAATCCTGGCACGGTTGGCGTAGTTACCAAGATCGGTTACAAGCTGCACACTCGCATTGTTAGGCCAGCCATCGTCGGTGTTGTCAAAGGACCCTGATTGTTTGACTCCCATTTCCTCTATTTTTTGGGATGGTCTTGGTGCGCTTTCCCCAATACCACATTTGTGGCTATAATCATTTACAGCCCTTTGATCATTCCACTGCTGAATTTATTTATTTAAAATAAAGCTTCCAAGTACCTTCTATCAATCTTACTTATTTGTGTCGTACACTTTATTATAAATATCCAATTTTGAGGCAGTTTTTTTTCTACCCAAAATGAAAAACAAAAATTTGCCAGTGTGTAACGATATACCTATGGGTGTACCTCGATATATGTTCAGTTTGCGTTCTTGAAAACATGAATGTAAAGTGAAAAATTGTATACTGAACATTTTTACCATCAGGTCTCATTATATAACCCTAGTTACGTTCCTAATAAATAATGTTCTGACCTAAAACCTACAAAAAATAACACTTGTAAATACAAATAACATTTTCATGCCTAAATATGATGAATAATAACTAAACAGCTCAGGAAAACACTTTACAGTTATCCCTCGATTTGTGTAAAACAATTACGTGAATTGGAATGGCTTTTCCCATTTAATTAGAAAATTTAGGGATGTGTTTTGGACAGTCATTCCAACTCTACTCCTAACCTAAAAATATACACCGATGTCACTTTTCACAAAATAAAAATAGTGAGGAACAAATACAAATTATTTAATTTAAAAAAAATACCTTTTCAGGGAACTCGCCATAACACCTGCACAGAATGACTGGAAAGGTGCCGTTGAGGCGTTGTATTGTAGGGATACTGTGACACTGTTGCGGATGGATGAAGCAGTCTCCTGGGGTGCTGTATTGGGATCTCACGGCACGTGCCGTGTGAAATTCAGTTCACACGGAAATTCGATTTCATTAATGGACAATTATCCATACCGTCAATTGCATTAAGGCGAAATTTCGTAAACTGAACGTTCGTAAATCGAGAGATACATGAAAACTGCAATTTACGAACCAGAAACTGGTGCAGGTCGTATAGGTGTTGGGTTACCGGAAGGGTGAGGGAGAGGCAGTCGGAGTGTCTGCCTCCCCTTTTGGGTCAAACGTAAACACGGAACAAAGGAGACAAACCAAAAAAAGTGTAAATTTATTAAACTCAACGAATCGTAAATCAAAGTATATCGGGGTACACCTATACATTCTATAACTTAAATCTTATTTCAAAAGCAATAACCTAAATTCCATACAATAGTTTTATTTAAATCTTAAAGTGTCACTGCCACTCGGTATTCACGGTTTACACTGATCATAAATTAATGCACATACACTGTTACAAGTGTATATTTCAACCATATTTGTGTTACATGTACGTGTAACCTTTGCAGTTATACACTTAACTGATTCTATTTAACATGTATGTTTTTGCAGTGGCTTATTTAGTGCTGCGGGCATCTTCAGGAGTTGAAAAAAATGTTTTTCTTCATTCAACTAACGAAGTTGTCAGCAGCAAAAGCACTTGGATTAATTGATTCAAGTTAGTAAACAAGCTTTATGCTGTTGATGTACATTATACATGTATAATTATATACTTATTTGATTTAGGGTTCTGTAGTAAGAATATAATTTCCGGTTATATGCCCTGCATTAAAATGTTGATATTGTCATTTGCATTTGTCAATGTTTAATTTACTATTGGATGTATATGGTTCATGTAAATTTGTATTCAATAACAATTTAGATAGCAAGGATGACTCCTCTTTATGCAATTGACTTCTGTGAAACACAAGCAGCTACTTGGTTGCAACCCTGACCATTTTTTAAAAAATAGACCAGTAGAGGCAATTAAAAACGTGTATAAACATTTTTTTGACATTGGTGGCTTTGGGAATTGAAATATACTGTGACAATGGTCATGTAAAACAAACTAATAACCTAAATTATACACGACACAATTACAACAAAAAGCAGCTATTCTACCCTTCCCATTTCAGTAGATGGCACTTTTTTATATACATAAACTAAATAATTCCAGTTGAAAAGATGAACAAAGTCTAAATTCTAAACCAAACGTTTAATAATTATATGGCTTATTTTGTATAAAAGGTGCAACTCATGTTTATAGGTAAAATATTGAGGTATACCTTAACAGCTCTATGAAAATCTTGCCTGATAAATCCCAAAACATCACCATGTATTAATAATTGCAGTACCATTATACGAAAGTTGATTTCATTTACCAAGCAATATTTTTGTTCACAATCCCATGCCAATGATAAAAGCATTTACGCATGACATTTAAACCGTCTGTAACACTTTAAACTCAATTTCCAACTATACATAAATTCAACTGTCCTATTGCATAATAATTTTCAAAATGCTATTTTAATCATTGCTGAATCCTAAGTAGAAAAAAATGCATTTCAATAAATTTTCTATATGTTGGCCTCGACTATTGAACAGTTTTCAGTGGTTTAACATTAGCTTGAATTAAATAAACTTGAATAAAAGCTCATTCGCAAAGCAGAATACATAAAAAAAACAAATCCCTCAATCTAGAACACAATCCTCAGGTTATTAACAAGTCCAGCTCGCAGGGTTACGCGTATTATTCAGGTCATATTAAGCCTTGCCTTGGGGGATCAGAGCTCCGTTTTAATACGGTGCATCAGGTCCATTTGATCAACACGCTCATCATGGCCATTCCAGCGGCTGTGGGCAAGCAGGGCCACATTCTGGCCAGCAATGCTTGCCATCTCCATTGCGCTTGCCGCCCACTCCAGCCCATTGAGATAGTAGAGTGAATTATGCAGAACAATAGGAGGCAGCTTGCCTGAAGAAGGCAATGAATTATATTGTGGGTAAGCAAGCCAGTCGACCTCCTGAACCGAGTAATATGTGCGGAACAGCATTTTGAGCTGCTGCCGATCGAGAGGTTTTTTTGAGAAAACCTTCCATACGGCAGACTCGTGTAAGGGCTTGCGCCGATAGTCCGCACTTGCGTTGACAGGAGAGAGGTTACTTAAGCTGTTAAAGAAAAGGTCAGAGTCTTCGGTGGTCAATATTTCGCTTATTGAGAATGATGTTGGATCTTTGAAGCCAAAATATGAGGTATTGACATAGCCATGCACAATGGTAGCCACTGTGTGGTGATAGGAACCTGGGAAGGTAGTGATAGGTGGGGTAAAACCTTCAAATGTGATATTTGACAGTTGTTCATGAAGTGGAGTAGCCACCACAACAAGATCATAAAGGTCATGTCCATTGCCCAAGTCACTCTCGTATCCAACTTCATACAGGCTCACTTCTCCACCTAAAAAAACACAGCACAACCACGCTGTAGCATCTTCATGATGAACATCACATACTCTGGTTCTTTCGGGTAAAGTCACGGTATAAAATAAATCATGACGTTTCGATTGCAACACAAGCACTCATCATCAGGTGGGAAAACCACAGCAAGAAAATGTTTTGCTGAAGTGGGAGAGAGATGCCGTGGTAAGAGGTTATATAGGTAAGAGAGGGGGGAGGGGCAAGGTAGGGGGAGGGGAGAGTTGCGTGGACGCTCGGAGAGGGACGTTAAGCTGGACGAGGGGGAAGTGGGCGGGGCTGGAAGTGGGCGGGGCTGAGAGCTGGGGATGCGCGGTGGGGAAGATGCAACAACAACGCCATTGCAGCAACAATGCCAATGAAGCCAACAATGCCAATGAAGCCAACAATGCCAATGCAGCAGCAATGCCAGACGCTGGGGATGCAATCAACTCGGCAAAATAGACGAGCATCCTCCCAGCCACGTCCAGCTTCACGTCCCTCTCCGAGCGTCCACGCAACGCTCCCCTCCCCCTACCCCCCTCCCTTGCCCCTCCCCCCTCTCTTACCTATATATAACCTCTTACCACGGCATCTCTCTTCCACTTCAGCAAAAAAAAATATTGCTGTGGTTTTCCCACCTGATGATGATTGCTTGTGTTGCAATCGAAACGTCGTGATTTTTTTATTTTATACCTACGTGACTACCGAAAGAACCAGAGAGTATGGATTCCTGCAGTCACAAAAGCTTCAAATCAAGAATGAACATCACAACCAACAAAATGCATTGTACGAAAATAAACGCTGCTCACCTTTTCTAACTGGGCGTTTCTTAAAGGAAATAGAGGTGACCCTGGCATGTTGCAGCTGTGCTTTTGCAGCATACAACAGCCCCGTGCACACCAGATTGTTGCCACCTTCTACAGCCCAGAGGCCAGGCTGAGCACCAGCCAGGCACACTGCTCCTGAAGGGGAAAAAAAAGTTGGTGAACAACAATGTTTTACAGATATGTCAACTGTAAAGAGTTAAAAGTTATCCAGCCAGGTGGCCACAGCAGCAGACTGAACAGCTCACGAGCAGCAGGTTGCAAGTTAAAATCCTGGTCGGGGGGGTTGCCTCAGCCCATCAACACTCCGGAGGCAGTAAAATAAGTAACACATTGTTGGGATGTCAAAAGTGTTTGCTCTTAGACTACTCAACCTCGTCATAGGATTGTGGACATTCTACCACTCGTTTGGCTGTAAACAGAGAGAAGCACCACCTTAATGCTCGTTTGAGCAGGAAATCACAATTATTTCGAGAGTCATAGGAAATATGGCCCACATAAAAATAACGACAATAAAAAGGTGTTCATATGAATGCATTCATCGGAGCCTGCTTGCCAACAAAGGCGGCGATGTTGGGCGACTGGCCGTAGTTGGTCCTGATGGCAGCTCCAACGAGCTCTTGAAGAAAGCGCTGGGAGACGCCGCGTTCCCCGAGGACCTCTTCCAGCGAGTGCTTTGTCAACTCGATGAACGCCTCTCCGCCCAAAGCGAGCAGCAGATCTTCGTTTGTCGAGAATGCAAATCCGTGTGATTGGTACTTGTAGATCCTGCACACAAGAGCCCCTTAAGTGCACATCGAATTTAAATTGCAACCAAAAATCTATCCAAACGAGTACTTGTAATAATACAAATTAAACGTTTCTTAACACGGAAATAAATTACAATTTATATTTCTTACAGTGTAACAATGACCGCTACAATCTCGTCATGTTTTCCCAATCAAATGTATACACGTGAATATTATCAGTTAAAATGTCATCATTGCCAATGCTGTTCGTGCTGCTACACCAAGTTTAAGGTAAATGGAAGTTAACTTACCTGAGAAACTTATCCAAGATCTCCTCTACCCACATCTGCATTCGGAGATAACTCAATCCATAACGCCACAGAAGGTGGACGGCATCCATGACTGTCCAACTACTTTCTTCGAACACAAATTGCTCTCCGTTAAAAATTCCCAACTTTTCTCCTGGAACATCATTCCTTTGCTTCAAACCTGCAAATAGTGATTATTACTGTGAGCTTGCCACACATCACCAAAAAGTATTACTACGTAGGTTTTAGTAGTTGTATTGTATACCTCTGATGTGTTTTAGATTCTTATCCGACCATTTGCATGGGACGTTAAGCTGAACAACACGCATTCTAGGAGCTTCAAGAAATAAAATTAATTAAGTTCCTAAAGCATGTCAACAAAACGTTGGACATGCCGAACATCACATGTTACAACCCAGACACATCTTAAGACCTACGCTAAAAATGGCATTCACATGAACGCATTTTAACGCGATGCAATGGCTTTTCTTCCCCGTGACAGACGCACAAGTCTGGTGGCGAAAAACAAACGAATTCTCACCCAGGTCCTTGACGAAGCTCTGCATGTGCAAGTTGAGGGGATGTATGATAGAGGCGCCCGTCTCGTAAACCTTCCCGTTCACCGTGATGGTGGCAATCCGCCCGCCCACCTGCTTTGCTTCAAAAACATCAATGACCACTTCCGGGCCGAATTTCTTCCGCAGAAAGAAGGCAGACGAACAGCCCCCGATGCCAGCGCCGATGACAGCTGGTGCGCACACGGGAGAAGGTGGTCTCATTCAGCACAACGGAAGATGCACCACTAGCAGTTGGCTCATTTGTCATGGGGGTGGCAAAGTGGTGGAGTGGTTAGGAGTGGTTAGCACACTGCACGATAAACCTGGCCGAGTGATATCTGAACCAGTCCTCGTCACAAGCCCTGCACCCCGCCTTCACTAACACGCACTGACCACAAATTTCATGACGGACACACCGTGAGGTCTTCATCCAGCAGTGGATTGATAAAGGGGCTGTCCGTAAGCAATTTGCGATGTGCCTTATCCGTATTAACTTTTCAATGCAATGTAAGGAAATGTGACGTTACATTATGTTCATGATCTAACAATGTGCATGTACACGTAGAGCCCTTGCTCAATTCACTGCTGGATGAGGGTCTCCCCATGCTGTGCGGACTGTGGGGGTTATGTGACCATACTTCACCTCACTGCTCAGCACAGGTTGGTGAAGGTGGTGAGCACAGACGTAGAGGCATCGAGGTATATAACACAACAATTGATGCTTCTACACTGTTCTTTACTGCCCAGAAAGTAGCCCCGTAGCCTATACGGGCTATACCATGTCAGTGTATGGCAGTCGCTCATCCAAGCACTATCCAGGCTAGAACATTTTAATCTTCCTAGGTCTACCAATATCTTAACACATTCCGGGTGATTTGGTAATAGACAACAATGCCTCTAACTTCCTCGGGGCTCATTGGAAGACGCAGGTGGCCGGTGTTGATCTGACACGTGAATAACGTTTACAAGTCAAGGGGTCTCATACTTTGGTTGTCAAAGCAGAGCCTACTCTAGATTTAGTGAAATGTGAACGATAAATGTGCAGCCCTACAATTGTTTGATAACCGGTAGGCCTCTAACTAAAAGGGGCTCTAGAGCAGCGGTCCCCAACCTTTTTGGCACCAGGGACCGGTTTCGTGGAAGACAACTTTTTCACGGACCGGAGAGGGGAGGGGGGAGGTCATCATTGGGTCTTTCCCCCTTTTCATAGAAGCTCTCCAGCGACGTTTGTTTTTTACTCATTGTGGCTACTAGGGGTTAGCTTGTGGGCTTACCAACACTGTGACTGAGACAAAGTGCGCAGTGCGGGAAAGAGGCACGGACGGAAGTGGTGAATAATAAAATAATGGGGGCGGGCCAATAAGTGTCGGATCCTGACTTCTCATAAGGAGCGCGCAACCCAGATCCCTCGCATGCGCAGCTGACAGGAGGGTTCGCGCTCCGATGATAATCTCATGCCGCCGCCGCAGATCTGACAGGAGGCGGAGGTCAGACGGCAATGCGAGCGATGGGGAGCGGCTGTTGATACAGGTGATGATGAAACTTCATCTGTCAATACAGGTGATGATGAAACTTCATCTGTCAATACAGGTGATGATGAAACTTCATCTGTCAATACAGGTGATGATGAAGCTTCATCTGTTAATACAGGTGATGATGAAACTTCATCTGTCAATACAGGTGATGATGAAGCTTCATCTGTCAATACAGATGATGATGAAGCTTCATCTGTCAATACAGGTGATGATGAAACTTCATCTGTCAATACAGGTGATGATGAAGCTTCATCTGTCAATACAGGTGATGATGAAACTTCATCTTTTGATTTAAAGCTTTCGTGACTGCAGTAATTCATATTCTTAGTTCTTTCGGTAAAGTCACGTTGAAGGGAAACAACAAAATAAAAAAAACTAAGAATATGAAACTTCATCTGTCAATACAGGTGATGATGAAGCTTCATCTGTCAATACAGGTGATGATGAAGCTTCATCTGTCAATACAGATGATGATGAAGCTTCATCTGTCAATACAGGTGATGATGAAACTTCATCTGTCAATACAGATGATGATGAAACTTCATCTGTCAATACAAGTGATGATGAAGCTTCATCTGTCAATACAGGTGATAATGAAGCTTCATCTGTCAATACAGGTGATGATGAAGCTTCATCTGTCAATACAGATGATGATGAAGCTTCATCTGTCAATACAGATGATGATGATGAAGCTTCATCTGTCAATACAGGTGATGATGAAACTTCATCTGTCAATACAGGTGATGATGAAACTTCATCTGTCAATACAGATGATGATGAAGCTTCATCTGTCAATACAGGTGATGATGAAACTTCATCTGTCAATACAGGTGATGAAACTTCATCTGTCAATACAGATGATGATGAAACTTCATCTGTCAATACAGGTGATGATGAAGCTTCATCTGTCAATACAGATGATGATGAAGCTTCATCTGTCAATACAGGTCATGATGAAACTTCATCTGTCAATACAGGTGATGATGAAACTTCACCTGTCAATACAGATGATGATGAAGCTTCATCTGTCAATACAGATGAAGAAGCTTCATCTCTCAATACAGGTGATGATGAAACTTCATCTGTCAATACAGATGATGATGAAACTTCATCTGTCAATACAGATGATGATGAAGCTTCATCTGTCAATACAGGTGATGATGAAACTTCATCTGTCGATACAGATGATGATGAAACTTCATCTGTCAATACAGGTCATGATGAAACTTCATCTGTCAATACAGGTGATGATGAAACTTCACCTGTCAATACAGATGATGATGAAGCTTCTTCATCTGTCAATACAGATGAAGAAGCTTCATCTCTCAATACAGGTGATGATGAAACTTCATCTGTCAATACAGATGATGATGAAACTTCATCTGTCAATACAGATGATGATGAAGCTTCATCTGTCAATACAGGTGATGATGAAACTTCATCTGTCGATACAGATGATGATGAAACTTCATCTGTCAATACAGATGATGATGAAACTTCATCTGTCGATACAGATGATGAAGCTTCGCTCGCTCGCCCACCGCTCACCTCCTGCTGCTGTGCGACCCGGTTCCTAACAGGCCACGGACCGCTCCCGTCCGTGGCCCGGGGGTTGGGGACCCCTGCTCTCGACGGTACTTGGCCCCCTGACCCACGATGCTCACACATCTTTGAATATAGGGCAGTACCCACACTTTACCCCCACAAAATGCGGCCTGCCTATCGACTAACCGTTGTGCGTCCATGCATACTGTACTGCTGGGTGGACAGGGGTCGGCCCCTGGAATCCCAAGTCCAAGGCGCGAACCACTGTACACCATGCGGGTGTAAAACGGACGAGATAAAATGAGTGAGACGTGTGTGTATCGCGGCGTGAGACCGTGACGATCGGCAACGAATGCGTCACGGTGCAATTGAGAGAGGCGAGTCTTCATGAACGAATAAACGCATCACGGTAAATGCGCGAGTCTCACGATACATGGGTGAGTCTCACGGCGAATGCGCGAAATCCGAGCTCGGGCTGTCAAAAAGGTGGCTTGTGGAAAGGGGGGGGGGATTAGGCCACGCCGTGGTCAGGGCACCTCGACTACCGCGCCCTACCGGGAGAGGCGCTCAGAGACGGGGCGCGCAGCGAGCGAGCGACCGAAGCACCCACACTTTGTTTGATTTCACCCGGGACAGGTCCACCAACCTCCAAACCCCTCCTTCCCTCCCTCCTTCCTACCGATCTTCTTGGGAGGAACGATGAAGGCGGAGGATGCGGCGCAGACGGCGGTGAGGAGCGAGACGAGGAGTTGGGCCAGACGCGGCATGGTGGCCGAGAGGGCGAGGAGGAGGCGCGCACAGCGCACGGGAAGTTGGAAACCTTCAAGACCCCCCACCCTGACGTCACTGCAACAAACCCACCCCCACCCTGACGTCACCGCAACACCCCTCCCCCCTGACGTCACCGCAACACCACCCCACCCTAACGTCACAGCAAACCCCCCCCCCACCCTGACGTCACCGACGTTCATTCATTCGCTCACGCGTGTCACGATTGATGACCTCGTGCAATTCATTCGCCCGTGCCGTTAAATATATTTGCAATCATTCGTGCATTCATTATCTGTGATCATTCATATATTCAGCCGTTTTTTTAAGTATGCCATTGTGTTTTTCTAATCGGTTACAGTGATATTTAAAAACTAGCTTGCTTGCCCGTCCTGGGGCGGAAGCTGTAATATTTACGAAAAGATTGAGCATATTTTGTGTAAATTTAATGGCAGCGAATCTTGCACAAAAGTATGTCATCAAACACTTCACTGTGTTTGATGACGAGGATACATTTTGTAAAACATTGTAAAATATATACATAATACAGGGGTTTTTTTGGGTTAGATCGTGTAGATATATAAATGTGTCGTTAAACCCGCCACCACCCGACACAGCTATAATTTAGTAAGGTTTGTCACGTAAACAGAACGTGCCAATTCGTTACTAGTACAGCACACCGGTGTATTGGGGAGCCAAGCCCCAACATTGACGACGTTTCGCCAGTAATTACAACTAGCTTCATCAGGCGACAGCCAGATTTGTGGAGAAGTCTTCCTGTTTCGTTCCTTAAATAGAGGGGTATCAGCGTGAAGTGTGGGGGGGGGGGGGTTAAAGAATGCATATACATGACTATGGTTATCCATTGCCGTTTGGGGTATTTATATGGTAATCAACGTACATTATGCATGCGCATTAAGCAAGCCTATTGTAGTTGTACTTCCTGTCGAGTGTGTGCACTAAAATAGCCGTATCAACGGTAATCCCTATTGAAGTATGGTGACCAGTATAGGAATGCATTTTAACAATGTATTATTTGATTCGCTTCTAAGTTTGTAGCTATCCGAACGATTACAATTATATTTACTTCTCTCAATTTCGATAGATTATCTAATTAGTCTTGGCCAGTAGTAACTAGTTTTGCACGGAACTTCAACATTATCTCAATCAAATGAGTGTTTGATTTGGTTTTAGCATTCAATGCCCTGTTGATTTGTGCATCATTGTAACCGTTCAATTGCAGCGCTTCTTTAACATGTTTAAAAGGGGAATTAACCCTATTATTATAACATGTCTAATTTCATTTCTCAGACTATCACCATCTGACACTTTCTTAGCCCGTGGCGGGTTTAACGACACACGATCGAACCCAAAAACAAAACTGTATTATGGGTGATATTGGTCGCGAAAGCCTACGTGTTAAATAGTAAAATATAGCCCACATGAAGGAAGTAGTTTAAATTCCTTAAAAATGTTGGTTAGAAAGCTGTATTGAACAGATGTATACTACATCATGCAAAAGGGATAAACTTAATCGCTGTGCCAACTGTATCAACCTTTCCTCCACACGGAAAACCTGGTTTAAAACCACGGGTGGCTGGAGCCCAAGACCTTACCAATGCCGGTACTCGTTGCTCTATTGCTCTGACAAGGCCATTGTGTGGCTCCAGAACTACTGGGCCACTCTGAAGTGCCGTGCATTTGCGATGCAGAACACCGCCTATCCAACACCCTGCACAGTCGCTGGAACAAAGAGGGCGGGGGGGAGTGGAGTCAGTGACGTTTCATCAGCACCAAGGACAGCGCCCGCCCTGCATTGCACCCAACCACTGCCGTGCGGGCAGCAGCAAGCCTTGGGCTGGGAACATGATGGATTTCACCAGCCCCCTCCTTTCTGATATATTTGCAAAATGTATTGGAGGCCACATTGTCCGCGGAGGACAGCAAGTGTGTATTTTAATACGTTACGGATGGCCGTGCTAAAAAAAAAAGACCCAGCTAATGTATTGCTTATTTTTACCGAAGGGCAATTTACAATTGCACTGAAAGCAAAAACCGAAGCCCAAATCATGAATAATTATTTATGCACGTTTATATAATTAAGGGATTTTGTAGAAAATAGGCGCCCGATTAATTTAAGTAGGTCAATACCATGTCGGATTTGGTTGAAGAAGGCCGTTTCCATGGCAGCAACACAAATACATCAGTGGACATAACGCACTCCGAGTGCAATGCGTCACGATGGATGATGGATCGTTCGTGTGCGTGCCAGTCTATACATGCGTACACATGTACACACGCACACACAAGCGCGCACACGTACAATCATTGCATAATTTTACATTTCAAATGAACTCACTCTGAGCGGAGCGCTGTCTCCTAATTAATAATCGACGGTCGTCCCTCATGCGCACTAGCGCAGGAGGGGCAAGGTCAGGGCTGCAAGGGCAGCGACGGGGCTCCTTCTTTGGCGTGGGAGGAGGGGCAAGGCAGGGGCAAGGCCGGCGGAGCCAGGGGCGCCGCTTCATCCACCGTACCCCCTCCCCCCTCCAGCGATGGAGCGCGGCGCGCAGTGGCAGCGCCAACGCCCCGCTCCCGAGAAAACGGCGGAGCCGGCAGCGGCACCATCATCCTCCTCGTCGTCATCGTCCTCTTCTTCATCTTCGTCGTCGTCCTCGTCATCGTCGTCCTCGTCCTCCTCGTCGTCCTCCTCATCCTCTTTATCCGGCATCAAGAAATACTGCGTCAACTGCCTGGAGGAGGCGACCGCCTTGCGTCTGCGCTGCGCCGAGTGCGCGGATATGGAGCTCTGCCTCGAGTGCTTCAGCGCCGGAGCTGAGCTGGGCCCGCACCGCCGCTGGCACTCCTACCAGATGGTCCTCCAACAGCCGGCGTGCGGCCCCGGCAGTGGCCGGGCGCCCGAGCTGCAGCAACCACCCAGGGCGACCCCCTGCGTCGCGGCGCTTGCCTCGGCACCGGTAGCGTCGGCCGCGACCCCCGCTCCGACCCAGGTTCCAATCTCGGTGGCTCCGACTCAGACGCAGGCTCCGATCCCGGCTCCAACTCACACACCGATGTCAGCGGCTTCGGCGGGGGCAGCCGCGCAGACGGCGCCAGAGTCGGCGGAGGAGACGCGACCGGACGAGCCGTTGACCCGGCAGCCCGGGGCGCCTGAGGACACCCCGGCGGGACCTTCTGCCCCGTGGAGTAACTGCGAAGAGCAACTGCTGCTGGAGGCCGTGGAGCAGTATGGCTTCGGTAACTGGGAGGACGTGGCAGCGCACGTGGGCTCCCGCACGGCGGCAGAGGCCACGGAGCACTACCTAGGTCGCTTCGTGTACGGTAACATTGGGAGGGCGTGCATCCCTGCCATCATCCCCAACAGGTAATCGACGTGGAGCGAAACGTCGGACATCATGCCGAACAATACGCGGTATAAACAGAAAACACATTGAGAGGGCTATACAGCACAACCGCAAAAAAACTACGCATGGGTAAATGCATTAATTATACCTTAGGGTCCGCGCGCTATGCTGTTTTATTCATCTCTATAACTGTTGTGCTGTGTGCGTCATGTGGTCGGACGAAGAATCCATGTAGAACTCTCGCAGTGCGGTGTAACTCTGTGTTCCAGAATAGCCCTTGGAAGTGGCTATTACAAAACTACAGTATGTACAGTACTTTTGATATTCCTTCCAGATCTCTGATCCTCAAATCCGCACACTAGGGGGCAGGGTTTTCACACCTGCCCTGCCCGCTACAGAGTTACAATATGCGTAGCATGAGCTGAGATGAAATGCAGAGCCAAATTTTAAATGTTCTTATGTTGCTGGGACCATCAACTCGCAACACTTGAAATCCATGTTTAATCATTGGCGACTGCCTGTATTCGATACCAGGTTCTCGGAGTGACAGCTCAATGTGCGCAGTCACACGGCCTCCGCGAGTAAAATAAATATGTACACTTGATAATCTCTTTTGTAATAAATGCGTTTGGGATATAACGCATTTCCAAAAAAATGTATTGTTCTTTGTGGAAGTGGAGTCATGTAGTGTATTTCTCAAATCCATTGGAAGGCCCAATATCGAAACAGTTCCCTATAAGTTGGTCATGAGATGTCAGTACCAGCATTGGGTTCTGGAATGTCCCCGTGTACAGAGCGTTGAGTGTAACTTCTTCTTCGTATATGTGAGGTTTATCTGGGTACTGCAGTTTTCTCCAACGTGACACTCATGGATGTATTTGGCCAAACAATGCTGGACACTAAGTAAAGTTTTACTGGATAAATAAAGGACATTATTATCTGATTTGACCTCGCTGCGTGGAATGCACCTGATATAAGATACCGTATTTGAAGATAAACAAGTTGAAGGCTGCACCGTCCTTGGATGGGGGACCACCATGCACATACATGTCATGATTTGTGGGGCTAATTTGTGGGCTGCAGATGGCAGTGCAGAAAATTCCATCGTTGTATCCTACTTTTATTCCATTGTTGTACCCTACTTTCATTGTTGTACCCTACTTTTATTGTTCCAAGTTTGTGCTCCCCACCTTCACTTAACCCAAACTGACCAACATTTTAAACTATGACGAAATAACTTCCGTGACCAGCACAGGGAGGCTCTCATCCAGCAGTGGATTGACATGTAATTTAATTTGATACCACCACACCCTCTGGGCAGTGAGAGTACAGTACCGAGCTCTTGGATTTGGTGATCCTAACAACAGGCGCTTCGCATGTATTTAAGAGTGACAGACCACACGTGCACGGAGCCCGGCTTGGGTAGCCCTCCACCGTCACCGTGTCTCCTCGAGCTCTCCCCGGCCGAGCGCCAGCAGCTGGGCTACCTGCCCCTGCGCGACGACTTCGAGGTGGAGCACGACCCCGAGGCGGAGGGCCTCATCAGCGGCCTGGCCCTCAGCTACTCGGACGACGAGCTTGACCTGGAGCTGAAGCGTGCCTGCGTGGATATGTACGTCCGCCGCGTGGAGGAGCGGCAGCGGCGCAAGCAGATCGTGCGCGAGTACAACCTCATCGCGGGCTTCCTGGGCAAGGAGCGCGACCGCGGCCCCAAGGGTCGTCCGCCGTCCAAGGAGGAGACGGAGCTGCGCGGGAGAATGCAGCCCTTCTGCCGCTTCCTGCCGGCGCACAAGCTCGACGAGATGATGGAGAGCGGCAGCCGCGAGCGCGGCCTGCGGCTGCGCGGTGCGCGAACTGCAGAGGGTACCGCTGCGACGGCATCACCCGCCTCGAGGAGTCGGCCGAGTACGAGGCGGCCAAGCACCGGAGGGAGAAGCGCAAGGCTGGGAGACCCCCCACGCCGACCACGAGGCAGAGCGGGCGGCCCCCCACGCCCAACACACGTCTCGGTGCCCTCGCGCTGAGGTGGGTCTTGCGGGGAGCAGGCGTCAAGGCGGTGGCATTGCCATTGCGTGTGTACTTGCACCGCCCGCACGCTGGGTAGATATGCCACACGGAGCAGGGGGGGTGGGGATCTAAAACCGTAGCAGAGCTATCTGGCGTGCAGGCAGTGCAACTTCACTCTCGATATCTATACCATACTGACCAGGCGTCATAACGGGGATCAATCCTTCGGGCAAAAAAATGTTTTTTTATTGATTACTGATGGCACTCTCATTGTTTATGGTGTTTCTGCGAATAATTTACCAATACACTTTTAGACATGAATGCTTATTATCGCGAATTTCCTTTTATACAGTTCGCACAGTTGATCCTTCAGTTTCAAACTTCGTAACTATTGAAACTATGTATCCTGTGACACAATGCCATATGCTTACATAGAGCTCAATGATCAGAGTTAAAGTGCGTTTACAATAGGGCCTGTCTTAAACCCGTGTGATGGAGGATGCCAATTTATTTTGCTCCGTGGCCATCCACACAGGAACAAGGAGCAGCCCGACGGCGACGCGCCCACCCTGGAGAACCTTCCAGGCTTCCAGGAGCTGTCGGAGCAGGAGCGCTTGCTGTGCACCTCCCTCGGCCTGAGCCCCACGCGCTATGTCACCATCAAGGCCATCCTCATTCGCGACTACCTCCAGAAGCGGCAGGGTATCCCCTCCAAGCCACGCCTGCCCCCCTACCTCGACAAGTCGCACAAGAAGCGCATCCTCAGCTTCCTAACCAAGAGTGGCTGGATTGCCCGAGAGGCGCAATAGAGGATGAAGCCTCGATTGCATCTCCCGATTAGCACGGTTGGCTATGTATGGTGCGAAAGAAGTTCAACATACAGTGAGGGAAAAAAGTATTTGATACCCTGCTAATTTTGTACGTTTGCCCACTGACAAAGAAATGATCAGTCTATAATTTTAATGGTAGGTTTATTTGAAAAGTGAGAGACAGAATAACAACAACAAAAATCCAGAAAAACGCATGTCAAAAATGTTATAAATTGATTTGCATTTTAATGAGGGAAATAAGTATTTGACCCCTCTGCAAAACATGACTTAGTACTTGGTGGCAAAACCCTTGTTGGCAATCACAGAGGTCAGACGTTTCTTGTTGTTGGCCACCAGGTTTGCACACATCTCAGGAGGGATTTTGTCCCACTCCTCTTTGCAGATCTTCTCCAAGTCATTAAGGTTTCGAGGCTGACGTTGGCAACTCGAACCTTCAGCTCCCTCCACAGATTTTCTATGGGATTAAGGTCTGGAGACTGGCTAGGCCACTCCAGGACCTTAATGTGCTTCTTCTTGAGCCACTCCTTCGTTGCCTTGGCCGTGCGTTTTGGGTCATTGTCATGCTGGAATACCCATCCACGACCCATTTTCAATGCCCTGGCTGACAGAAGGAGGTTCTCACCCAAGATTTGACGGTACATGGCCCCGTCCATCGTCCCTTTGATGCGGTGAAGTTGTCCTGTCCCCTTAGCAGAAAAACACCCCCAAAGCATAATGTTTCCACCTCCATGTTTGACGGTGGGGATGGTGTTCTTGGGGTCATAGGCAGCATTCCTCCTCCTCCAAACACGGCGAGTTGAGTTGATGCCAAAGAGCTCCATTTTGGTCTCATCTGACCACAACACTTTCACCCAGTTGTCCTCTGAATCATTCAGATGTTCATTGGCAAACTTCAGACGGGCATGTATATGTGCTTTCTTGAGCAGGGGGACCGCTGCAGGATTTCAGTCGTTCACGGCGTAGTGTGTTACCAATTGTTTTCTTGGTGACTATGGTCCCAGCTGCCTTGAGATCATTGACAAGATCCTCCCGTGTAGTTCTGGGCTGATTCCTCACCGTTCTCATGATCATTGCAACTCCATGAGGTGAGATCTTGCATGGAGCCCCAGGCTGAGGGAGATTGATAGTTATTTTGTGTTTCTTTCATTTGCGAATAATCGCACCAACTGTTGTCACCTTCTCACCAAGCTGCGTGGCAATGGTCTTGTAGCCCATTCCAGCCTTGTGTAGGTCTACAATCTTGTCCCTGACATCCTTGGAGAGCTTTTGGTCTTGGCCATGGTGGAGAGTTTGGAATCTGATTGATTGATTGTTTCTGTGGACAGGTGTCTTTTATACAGGTAACGAGCTGAGATTAGGAGCACTCTTAAAGGGAGTGCTCCTAATCTCAGCTTGTTACCTGTATAAAAGAAATCTTTCTGATTGAGAGGGGGTAAAATACTTATTTCCCTCATTAAAATGCAAATCAATTCACAACATTTTTGACATGCGTTTTTCTGGATTTTGTTGTTCTTATTCTGTCTCTCACTGTTCAAATAAAACCTACCATTAAAATTATAGACTGATCATTTCTTTGTCAGTGGACAAACGTACAAAATCAGCAGGGGATCAAATACTTTTTTTCCCTCACTGTACATACAAGCCCTGTCCTTTGGGTTTACACTTGGAAGAGCGAGCATGTTTGAAAATGCCAAAAAAAAATAAACGCAGTATTATAATAATCGTGTTGAATATTAAGATGCTTCATTTATTCTGAAATAAATGTTGTGATTAACAAATAAGCACCCAAGAGTATTGGGACTTTGTGAAGTCTCTATGAATAATTATCGAGCACCTTAGCTCAAGGTGTTTCACAGAGTAAAAAAACCTTCCGTAAAAATAGTGATTTAAATGGCAGGAAAGTCCAAGGGCGGAGGAATGAGTGACCGTAACAGAGGGCACATGGGGGTTATGAAAGGGTAGGGGAGGGAAGGAAAGGAGTGGAGGGGCGAGGGGAGGGAAGAAGAAGAGAATGGGCAATGGAGAAGAAGTGAGCTTTAGGAGAGGGACAAAATGAGGTTAAGGTGGAGGCCTGCTTAATGTAGAGGGAAAGTTTATTCGAGTGGAGGGGTGCAAGGAGGGAGATACATCATTTAGTTATACTTGCTTTACATGATCATACAATAACAGTAATGTTCAGCCCTTCATCAATACGCTCCTGAATGAAGAAGGCCTCCATATGCCATTTTGGTCATGGGGGTTGTTTGATCACACTTAACTCTGCTGGTGGTCAGTGAAAAAAACAACGAAGGATCAATATTTTTCAACAGTCCTTCACTAATATTCCCTAAGTCCTATTCAACGCATTATCCAAAACATTGTCTTGCTTAATTGTTGATGTCACTTAAATTGTCATGGTGTTTTTGCTAATAATTTGCCAATGTCTAGACATGTTATTCTTCCAAGCCTTGACTTGGGTTTTACACCGTACACATTATATTGTAAGTGAACGTGTGACATGTTAACGGACTGTAAAAGTATTTCCTCTCGTGTATTTATAAACTTGTATTATTAATGTGTGCCAGAGATATTGGAGAAGGGCGATGAGAATGGATTGCAGAAGTTGCAAATAGTTGTATAACTATTGAGTGCAGTTGCACAGGGGCCCGCAGGCAAGAGGGTCCCCAGTTACTGGGTTATGAAGAGGATGGAAATGACCCCTTTCCCATTCCGATGACGTACATGTACAATCATCAGTTTTATTTTCGATTCCGGAAGTAAAAGGCCATGCGGAAGGGGGTGTGGCAGTTTGGCACCAGCTATCATAGAATGTGTTTGTGTCACTGCAATTCTCTGCGGCGAGTACAATATCTTAAAAAAACAACGGCGCTACGCCTCTATGTAAAATGTACGCTGAACTGCTTGGACGTTCATGATTCGGCGGTGAACGGGACACCCATCCTGCAAATTGCAGACGTCTTTGAATGGGAAAGGGTTAAACAAGGGCCCCCATTTTATACCTTGCTCCAGGTCCCATGCCAATCATGCTACGCCTCTGCAAGCAAAAGTGCATCAGGGCTGGAGGAAGCTATTTGAGCACCACTCATGAGTGACCTGCTTACTTCTTGAACCCACCCCTTCACGTGCTGTGATTTAAGCGTAAGTACTGTGTATCGAAATTGTGAATTGTGGCCATAACAATCATCAATGTGCGTGATTGATGTGTGGCATATATAGAATCAAAGATGCACTTTTTTTTTGGAAACTTACAAAGTGGATTATTTTACACGAACTGCCTGTGTTTAATGCAACGTAATGTATCGTTCATGTTTGACTTGATGACAGCACATAAATGTTTTAACAACGAAGCAGCATGTCGTGTTGATTTACTTCTCCCAAGTAATATGTTGAGAATTAACTTTTTCTCCATTTTTTAAGAAAATTAATACATTCAAACAAATGCAGAATCCAGTAAGTTTACGTTTGTCAATCTAAATGCAATGCATTTCAATGCAATGCTTAATGATTCTATTTATGTTGTGCTTAATTCATTACAGGTAAACATCTCTCACAACACTGATATATTCTATTGTCAAAATTATAAAATAATTACAGCACAAACATAATGAAGAAAGGCATCACGGTTTTTTTTCATGGATCCATGTACCTTTCATCTTCACACCTCCCTACTGAGGGTCTGTTGAAGAATACTCTTTTGGACGTCCTCCATGATGCCTGTAAAATAGGAATGCTATTTTTTTTAAACCACAATACATTCATAATCATCCACCACGCTCAATCCACTGCTGGGGCAAGGTCTCCCCAAGTCTGCCATCTCTCACGATCCTACGATGTAATAATCCAACCTAGCACCTACACATGAGTTGATTGGTCAAATAATCCTCCGCCATAAGCAACGCACTTAAACCATACAATACAATTTTTATTTTAAAAACAATGTATATCAAAGTACATATGAATATGTTGTACACATGGTGGGGCAGTTACATCTAGAGGACTTCTTATGATCATATCTGAAGAGAGTGAGGTCATAAATGGCTCTCAGTGCACAGACAGAAAGCAGATGAATTTCGATTTAAAGCTTTCGTGACTGCAGGGATTCATATTCTTGGTTCTTTCGGTAAAGTCACGTAGAAGGGAAATAATAAAATAAGTTTTTATAACAAAATGAAATTGTATTATTTTATTATTTCCCTTCTACGTGACTTTAACGAAAGAACCAAGAATAGGAAAGCAGATGGTAATATAAAGAAGGTGAAAATGAAGCCTCAAACAGAAAGCACAGTCATACGCAGAAGACATAACAAAAACAAGTCTGGACCTTAAAAATGGAAATCTTGGCAGTTGTTGGCCGACTGGGTTGCATCGCATTATATTTTTAAGGTTTGCTGAGTTCGCATCTCCTATCTTCTTGCTGTATTTGCCTCCATGCAGTTTGCCGTTCTCTGTGTGCTCTGTATGTGATGTCCCTCTGTGTGTTCCCTCGCTGTGTGGTTTACGCCATTTTCACCTGAGGACGAGTGCTTGTTTTGCGTTCGAAACTTCGTGATCTATTTTATTTTGTATTTTATTTCTACTTACGTGACTTTACCGAAAGAACCAATGAGTATAGTAATCCCTGCAGTCACAAAAGCTTCAATCCTAGATTCATGGGGCATATGTTTGAGAAATGAGTATAGTGGAATGAGGAGGAAGAGGATAAGCACTCGCCGATAATTCCACTCGGAGATGCCCCAGCCACGCCTTCCGTTAACGATGAAGAGACACAGCCTTTCCACAATGCGAGCCTCCCACTCGAAGCCAATGTAGAACTCCGAGACGTCCTGCACGAGGCACTGCACATTGTACAGCTTCCCACCTGAGCAGCAGGGAACATAGCTGAAATGTTACAAACATATCTCAGCCATCCATAATGTCGTCACTTGTGAACCTGATTGGCTCACAAGTGACGACATCACATTTATCCCACTATTTTTTAGACCGAAACAGGATCATTTCTCCACAACTCTGGCTGTCGCCTGATGATGTTGGTTGTAATTACCGGCGAAACGTCGTGCTCGAATCGTATATTTTGTGTTTTTACTCTCCAATACACCAGGTGTACTGAACTAGTTACGAATTGCCATGTTTTGTTTACGTGGCAAACCTTACTAATTGGCTGTGTCAGGTGGTGGTGGGTTTAATGACACATTTATATTTACGTGATCTAGCCCAAAAACATCTATTCTGGATAATATTGGTCGCGAACGCCTACGTGTTAAAATATCTCAGCTAGTATGGGTAAGCACTTATTACTCTGTTTTTTTTCAGTTGTGCTGTATAGCTCTCCGATGTGTTTTGGGGTTGTATAATTGGAAAATGTGCAGCAGAACCCGAAAACACATAGGAGAGCGAATTCTAGCATTTCACTCACACACTGTCTGTATTAAGACGGTGTGAGCCAACTCAGGCACAGTGGTGTGAGAATGGTAGAGCATGGATCCTGGTGCGAGGAAAGGAAATAGGGCCTCTGTCCAATTCCCCCCTCGATGAAGCCCAGTGCCAGGGTGCTCCTCTGGCCCGTGGACTCGGGTGCAGTTGCACCGCTTGTACATTTGATAACTATCTCACTGGAAGCATAACGAGGACCGCCACCTCCCGTGAGGCTATAGAGGTGCGCTGTAGACCTGCACGGAAGCGGAATCCGTAATCCGAGGGTGGGGTCCCCCCTTCGCCATGGTAGGCCAGGTCGAAGTCAGTCCAGCTCACGCTATGCATCTCTCCAACTGGTGTGTACAAGTAGCCCATCTCCAGACTGCAGGTAGGTCAGAGGGCAAAAGAACGTCATGAAACACATCGAATATACTCAAGTGAAAATTCCTCAATATGTATTATACATTGCAATCATCGCTGCCCTACTGACACACTTTGCCCCTTTGCAAGCCAGGTGATGAGTCACCTTGTACCCATATGAACAGCTGCTACTGTGAGTGCCCTTTACAATGTTTAAGATGAGATGTGATGTAAAGCACACTCGGCGACTCGGGCGCTGTATTAAAAGGAATAATTATCTAACCATTACCATTTGAAGCTGCGGTTTTATTAGAACGGCAAAAGAACGTACATGTACACATATACAGCTCTTTGTAAATCCACATCTGCATGAGGGTCTCCCCACACCATGAGGGTCACGATGGTGACCATCATTGGTCTCCAACTTGCTAATACTCACTGCTGGTTGGTGAAGGCAGGGCAGCATATACGTGGAAGCTTTGAGGTGCAGAACAACAATATATTATACCGCACTGCCCTCTGCTACTTACTGCATAGCCCTGTTCATGTATGGTGGTCGCCCATCCAAACACTATCGAAGCTAAACTCTCTTAGTTTCCAAGATCCAGGGCATTCCAGGTGATTTGGTTATGGCTGTAATAATGTTAACATGTAGTTTTGTCAGATCAGTTAACATCTCAGAAACTCAAATAGAATTGGCTGCAGTAAGGTGGAATGAGTGACTTACACAGAAGTGGTGATGGGCTGAGAAACGACCCCAACGTTAAACTGCGTTCCATCCTCCAGTGTCACCATGTGAAAGGCATAACGATGCAGGTACTTCCACTCGCGCTTCTTGCCTGGGCCAAAAAACAAGGTATTATGGGTGTGTTATGGTTGAGTGTGTGCAAAAGAAAAACATTCTAATTCGAAAAAATGTAGGTGTATAAGTCGATAACTTCGTCTGAGGTTTCGTAAACTCGTCACCATAGGAGTGATCTCTCATGGAGCCCATGATGAGCTTTTGTGGAGCAAAGCCCTCCACAGTGATGGTGCCGCGAAGCCACCCAAACTGCTCATAGTGAGTCTGGTGAGACCTGTGAGGGATGGAAGGGCAAAGCACCAAAGCGTTATAATCTTAGGGGCCGTCCATAAATGACGTCACGTTCCAAGGGGGGGGGTCAGACATTTGTGACGAGGGGGGGGGGGGGTTGAGAAATGTGACGTCACATCAAAATGCGCAACTTTAAATAAATATAGAATTGTTATGACAACACTAATTGATATAACAACACTCCTATAACATTAGAGTGCAGCACACATTAAATACACACTACAATGACAATAGTTTAAAGCAATTTGAAGCATATTTTATTTTCGAAATGGAAATATGGTTTTGGGGGGGAGGGGGGGGGCAGAGCTTTGTGACGTCATATTTGGGGGGGTCTGACTTTTTGTGACGCTGTGTGGCGTGGGGGGTGGGGGTCAAAATTCGTCCAAAATCGCGTGACGTCATTTATGGCCGGCCCCTTACTTTACTTGCTGAAAACACTAGCACACAGAAAACATTCGCCGCCTTAAAAACCATGACAGTCCTGACACCGAGAACCTTGGACCGAAACAGGGGTTCAGTGATGCCTGATTTAATTGGATTCTCAAGTGTCGTGAGTTGATGGTCCCAGCCTCGATCAAGTGACTGCAAATGAAACCAAACTAATAAGAGTAATAATTTGGGGGGGGGGGGGGGAATTGGATACATCTATTAACATTACTATAAAAATGTACATTGAAAGTTTAGGGGAAATTATACATATGGACAGATTACGTCACACTTTCCAAATTGTGCTTGATCTCAAAAGTATTGAATTGGTACAGTACAGCAGTGGTTAGGTAGCTGTTTTGGGAAAAAAAATATTTGCACATTGACAAATACTGTAGTCCTTTTTGTTTTCATTTGTGTCTCCAAGTTTGGGCAATCCTTTAATCAGTATTGGCAGTTTTCAAAAGGATAACTCCTTGTTAGCAAAGCAACTTTATATTACAGGTTAATTTATTTTGGATAATGTTTTGGAGAGTTACAATGTCCCCCTGTCATAGAGAGATGTACAGAGCTAATGCATACACTTTCAATCTTAAATTTCGATTTAAAGCTTTCGTGACTGCAGGGATTCATCTTCTGGGTTCTTTCGGTAAAGTCACGTAGAATGGGAATGAAAAATAAAAATAATAACAGAATAAAATTCCCACGACGTTTCGGCCACAACACAAGTAGCCTTCCTCAGGTGAAGAAACAGGACTGTCCGGAAGATAGCGCTTGAGTGAACACTGCCAAGCATGGACAGCGTCTTTTAAGCTGTGTGGGAGGAACAGAGTGCCTTGACAAAGGAGTTAACATATAAATTAGCATGTAACTGGGAGACTAGCATGAGGGATTAGCACCACGGAGAGCGACGAGCTATGTTCAGACGGACGAGGGGAGGGGGGAGAGGAGTTTACATATAAATTAGCATGTAACTGGGGGACTAGCATAATGTTGGTGTGAGGGATTAGCAGCAGTTTACATATCAACAGTAAATTAGCATGTAACTGGGGGATTAGCATGATGTTAGTATGAGGAATGAGCTTGTGTTCAGACGGACGAGTCCATCTATGTTGGGAACGGAGGAGGGGGGGGGGGGGAAGAGGAGGAAACAGCCACGGTGCGATGCTCTGTCCTGTGTTGCGTTATAACTATGCTATAAACTGGACTACTATAGAATACATTATTATACCTTCCAATCTAAACTACATTGTATAATATCGTATACACAGCCCAATGTAAGCTCTAACATTATGCATTATATTGATATGCCTCCAACTAAACTTTTTTCTACATTACACAACTATACACCGTAATATACACTGCCATAGACAAACCCCACCCTTGATTTATATAATGCGTTACTATACACTACCCTATACTTTAGACTATAAAATATTAGACTTGTAGTATTACACTATGTATTATTCTATTAACCCTACTGTATACCACAATGTTGTATATTCACTATACAATTACGGTACTATATATCACCTTATGAATTATGTTAAACATTACACTGTTATACTATTTATTATTATACAAATGCTATAAACTATACTATTGACCGTCGTGTGATAGGTACTAATAGGCAGTGCCAGCGAATGGACTGCGGTCTGAAAGTCACCGTAAAATACAATCAATCAAGAACCGAAATGGTTTATAACGTCCTTCCAATGGTTACTAAGCCAGAATCCATCTTCTCGGTTGAAATTGTCTCTGTGTTTGTATATGTGGATAGCCTCATGAACGAATCTCTCATGGTAGCCGGATGGCTTGCAGAGAACCTCCGTGTTGGAGAAGTCAATGTCATGTTGGCCCACTGAATTATAACAGTGATCTGCCACGGCTGAGGTGTTCGTCCTACCGTGTTTCAAGTCTGCTTTATGTTCACGGATGCGGTCAGAGATATGTTGTTTGGTTTCTCCAATGTAGCTGCTACCACAGAGGCAACTTAGTTTGTAGACGCCCGGGTACTGTATGTCTGGAACCACATCTTTTACAGACGGAACCAGATCACGGATTTTATGTACTGTGTCGAATCGGATCTGGATCTTGTGTTTATTCAGGATTTTGGAGATCTTTTTTGTGACCCCCGCAATGTAGGGTAAGGTGATGGTTTTGAATGGCTCCTCAAGAGGATCCTTCTTCATGGTTGGAGTGATGGCTTTGCGGATTGTGTAGTCGGAGTAACCATTAGCCTTGAGAGCTTGGTGTATGTGCTTGAGTTCACTACCATAGAGCCCAGTGCATTTCCGACTAAGAACACATTGCTAGTGAACTCAAGCACGTCGCTCTCCATGGTGCTAATCCCTCACACCAACATCATGCTAATCCCCCAGTTACATGCTAATTTATATGTTAACTCCTTTGTCAAGGCGCTCTGTTCCTCCCACACAGCTTAAAAGACGCTGTCCATGCTTGGCACTGTTCACTCAAGCGCTGTCTTCCGGACAGTCCTGTTTCTTCACCTGAGGAAGGCTACTTGCATTGTGGCCGAAACGTCGTGAGAATTTTATTCTGTTATTATTATTATTTTATTCCCATTCTACGTGACTTTACCGAAAGAACCCAGAAGACTTTTAATCTTAGTTGGAAAGCGGTAAAGAAATTTTAAATGAAGTGGTGCAGTTTATGGCTCACTCCTCCAGGTCTTTGAAGAATGTGCCACTCCAGGGCTCTCGAGCGATACCGCGGCAGATGAAAGCAGGGTGCAATTCCGTGTCGAAGTCAAAATATGGCAGGGTGCTCTCCCAGACCAGGTCCATGATCACGTTCAATGTGCGATCCTCCCCCCTTAGCCTGAGATGGAAAACAATGCATGACCATCACAAAAAAAGATATAGGCAAGCAATTTATGGCAAGAGGTAACCTTAGTGAAAATCCTGATAGTACAATTTGAGTTGTCAATTCACACTGTGGGAGGAGATTGTGAGTACATATGTATGTATGTTGAACTTTTTTCGCACCGTACATAGCCAACCACACTAATAGGAGGTGCCGTACAGGGCAGGAGTAGAGGCAGACCGAATGAGAGATGGGAAGGATGAGGTGGAATAATATGAGGATATTGTGTGTGACTAGAGAATAGTCACAGAAAAAAGTTACATGAAGAAAACATGAGCAGCCGACCCCATGCAATGATGTGATTTTTGTCTTCAATTAATCGACAGTTTACCTCATCGGTCCATCAAAAAAAAGTTTCCACTTTCTCATTGGTTCCAATGGCTTTAATGTCAAACCTTCTGCACCAAACGTCATGTCCTCCTCTGCATGCCAGATGCTGTCAGGTAGATTGGTACTTAATAGGAGCCCTATGTTTGGCAGCTAAACATGGAGAAAAACACATTTTCATTGCAAGTGGATCAATTTAAAAGACGCGTAATGTATATGAAGTCATTCCAACATGCATTATTAATCAAATAAATAATTCCGAACCAACTGCTGACCGACAAGGTACTTTTACCAGGGACATATTAGACCTTGAACTTTACCTTGATCATGATAAAGCCGTTTATGACTTTGTTGGGGCGTCGAGCTGTGGCCGCCACAAGATAACATCCATGCTTATTGGCTGCATTGAAATAAACTGCATCAATGGCCTGAACAAAAATACAAATACATCCATTGATATCAGGACAAAAAATTGCATGTCAACATACGATAAGCACACACGCACACACGCGCGTTTTCTGTGCAAGCAGAGTTGCAATGTGGGTACATTTCTTTGACAAGGTCAGCGTACCTTAGGGTGGTTAGAGAGTGGCTGTGCACAGTCCATCTGGGCAGGCGTGTTCCGTGACCTCCTGCCGTACCCAGCCTGCCCAATTACATTCTGCTCACGTTTGTTTCTCCACTGGAAAGCACCATAGAGCAATATTTTCCATTTGTATGAGAACCTACTCTCATGCTCAAGAACCACTTTTGAAAAAAAATAAGTGTTAGCATGCTTCAACATAACATCAAAGACAGACTTTAGCTGTTACAAAGTATTTTTAATTAGTGGTGAATCTCAAGAAAACATCTATTATCGAGGCCGGCTATTGTTCAAAAGATAAAAAAACGAGATTGAGAAAAGGTGCAAGGTACCTGGCGCAGCGTGTATAAGCAGTAGAAGAACGCGTATTTGATGTGGTAGAACTTGCCGGGTTGGCTGTAGACCCCAAACAGCTTTGGGGGATCATCACGAAATAGCCACCACACCACCAACAGCACCGATACTGCTCCCAGCAGCAACAGCAACATGGTCACCACCCAGCGTGCTGAACAGAACACCCGCAAAGATACAGGTGCAGCCCTTTCGTCACTCACGTCCACTGGTGGTGGACAGGGCTCCACTATGAGGGAGCTCAAGAGAGCCCATCTAAAAAGTGTTTTCCACACTGGCAAGGCATCGCTGAAGAGGTAGGAGTAAACTCGATTCGAAGCTTTCGCGACTGCAAGAATTACTCTTTGGTTCTTTCGGTAAAGTCACGTAAAAAGAAATGTAATTAAATAATAATAGAATACGACGTTTTGGTTGCAACACAAGCAACCATCATCAGGTACAAATGAATGAGAAAACAAACCTAATAAACTTGGAAATATAATGCAATACAACACAGAGAGTCGGCCAACAAAACAGTCAACACCCCACCTGGTTGATAACGTTCTCCCAAAGATTGCTCAATTTGAGAGAGACAAAACATAGACACGGAGACACACAGACAGAACACACAAGCAGAGAGACAGACTAACACAAAGACAAACAGAAAGAGACACACACATAGGCCTTAAATAGAGAGAGAGAGGGGTAGGTATACCCACATATTGTTGTCGTTGTCAGTGTCCGAAAACAATGCCACTGTTATCATAGACATGCACTTTTAAATCTAGTTTGAAAACTCATTTCTTGAGAACTGCTTTTTGCGTTCAATTTGTTGTCCTTCCCCGCACCTCTAATTAGCAAGGTTGGCTACATACGGTGCGAAAGAAGTTCAACATACATACATATTGTGTGCGCGCACACAACTGTGGCTGTCGACCCATGCGCGAGTGGAAAACTTTATTTCTCTCGCCGATTACCCTTGCAGCTTGATGTTTGAAATTTGCCAATTGGGACTTAAATTGGTCGTAAATTTGGCTTCCCATTTATGCTTCTGGGTGTACAGAGGCACGTGGATTTAAGACACGCCATTGTTTCAACTACTGCACCCAGAGTTTAAACGAACCGGCGACCTCTGCTTTTACACTACAACATCCACACCGGCAGTACCAATGTGATATCAATTTTATAAAAAATTTAATTGCTTTAACTCACCCGCAATGTTTACTACTTGTACTTTACAAACACCCATGTCTTGATTATGTGCAAACACAGTAAGCACAACAAATTGCTTACCTTAAAATGTAACGGTGATAAGTTCAGTGTCTTTCTTTGTTCATGTATTGAGACGGTATATACTGCATACACACGTGTTCCGTGTTTATACTCAAGTGCAAGTGTATTTAGTGACAGTAACTATAGATCTGATGAAACTTTGGGAGTGCTAGCCGTTAAAAGTGGTGTCCTGCGTAAGCAAAGTCAAAGTCTAAAGGTCAGTGCCTTTACCAACAGAAAGTTAGCCAATGATTTGCTGGAACCAATGTTTTAAGTTACCTTTCCCCCCACAAAATGTGCATAAAATTTAGCTGCATGCAGTTGGCAGACTGTTTTAAAGTATAACATACCATCGAAATGCTTGCTACCAATCAGAAAGTAAATGGTACAGAAAGTGAATGGCAATTCACAAAGATCGGTTGCGCTTTAAAACGATGGCACATAACATTAACTTAACTGGTTTAAGCTTGTTGTTAAACGCAGTTCTGAGCAAAAGGTTTCAACCATCGATCACAAACTATTAGCCTCTGATAGTATGCCTAGTTTGTGTTTTTGAGACTGAAAAGTGATTTGACTCGGTGGAAATCGTTGCAGTCGTCCAATCTCTCAAAAAACACAAGGCCTAAAAAATATATATTATTCCAAATTTGTAACAGTTGCACCAAGATTGCATCAATTACAAAAATAGATATTAATCGGCAAGTTTGATAAGAAATCACACAATCCCGTTATTCAGTAATACTGTTGTGAAAACTGGAGTAGAGAAATAGGCATATGAATATAAAAAAACTATCAATCGCAATTAACTGCAGGAAAGGAACAGCCTATTATTGGGCTCAATATACATTAACCTTATGGCGAGACCCCGGGGTCCCGAATAAACGGAAGTCAAAATCGTAATTAATACATTTCTTTTTTGCGTCCCACCGTGCACATAAACGCCGCGACCCACCTGGCACGGATCATTCTGTTGTCATTGTCGTCGTCCAAGTAGCAGCAGCAGCAGCGAGAGCTGAACAAGCGAATGCACTCCATGCTCGGGTTTGGGAAGGATCATGAGTCTTATTCAAAGCTGCTCAAACTGCCTACACGATTTAATTTTTTTTTTTAATTTGTCATAACGGTATGTATAATACAGTGAAACTGCTCTATCTTCATGCTTATTATTTGTGACCTACCAAATGTCTGCAGCCAGGATCAATCGATGACAATCTCATTACCTGCAGATATTTAACAGACGAGATGCGTTGCACCGTTAATTCCTCCTGTTTGATAATACTTCTCTTGTCCGTATGCATCTGTGCAAATAGGTTTTCTTTTGCGTTTAAGCCATAGCCCCACATACCGCTCATATCAATGCAGATAAGAGGAGCGGCGACCCACTACTCTGTAGAGTAACATTGGTAAAAAAACGCTTGTTACAATATGAACAGCGCATTAAAAACGCGTACTATTTTAAGTAGTTTACAAAGTGTGTCCACAAATCCAGAGAAACACGATGATTGACAGAGGGGTGTAAATCATTTTTTTCGATAGTGTATTTAAATAGCTACTGCAGGCAAGTAGTTTTCAGTTTTAAAGCCGCAGTTTAACAGGACAACACTTGCCACCGTCCTTCAAACCCATTGGTGAAAAAGAGCAACGTTTTTGTTAACATTGTGTTCATGCGAGAGCCAGGGGGCTCTCCGGGGTCCCGCCATGCGGGGAAACAATCATTCAAACGTTTGGAAAACAAATATATCCATTGTAGGGACAAGTGAAAAACACATTAGTATGCATACCTAGGATAGATAACGTGTATTGGGAATAATAAAATCAAGATGTAGATGGATAGGAGTGCTTTTGGAAATGTTTGATTAAATAATTAAAAGCAGCATATAGATGTTCCTAAATATATAATCCAACGCATATTACCTGCTAGGACAAGTACCTGAAACATCAATCTTCTTATACATAAAATAGTCAAAAATTGTTTGTGTGTGGGTTTGTGTGTTCGCGCGCTTGCGAAGGATTTGGCTCAACGGTGGGGTTTATGTAAAAAAAAAATAGCCAGGTACCACGCCGTAAGCCCCGCCGTCAGCAAGTGCTATTCCTTTTTCACATCCGTCAACTTTAAATGAGTTTAATTAGCGATTTAGTGCGCTATCTATTTATGACGCGTGCACGCCCATACCAACTCACGCGCCTTTGGTGGGGGCGACGGCCCATACCAAGTCGCACGCCTTCGGTGGGAATGAGGGGGGAATTTTTCTTTCGCGTTAAAAATGCGATAAAAATACACTAAACGCTGACGTTAATTCCTCATTGTGATCCCCCCCCCACCCCGATGCGTGCAGTTACTACTATACAGTCGGTAGATGCCACCACTATAGGCCGTAGATATTACTGCAGAGCGGCCGGGGAGATCGTGGCTGGGGGTAGCAGTCCAGCCCCAGCCTGCCAAGGTGCCACCTCGGCCGGCTGGACAATCTAGGTGAGGCCGGAGGCTCTGCACGGGACTAGGCCTCACCACGCCACTCTTGTTAGGTGAGTACTTTGTGCGATAGAGTCAGCATGTACTACTGTAGTGATAGCAGGTACCACCAGTCGGTATGCACTGCTGTTAGATTTTTAATAGTTTTGAAATATTCTTTGGCCTGGGCAACACCGGGTATATAAGCTAGTAGAAAATATAAATAAAAATCCAAGTACACAAAGCATGGAGAGGTGCATCTTGGATTTACTGGCGGAAAACATGCATTAGAGATCGTAAACATTCAGCTTCATACAGTGAGGGAAAAAAGTATTTGATCCCCTGCTGATTTTGTACGTTTGCCCACTGACAAAGAAATGATCAGTCTATAATTTTAATGGTAGGTTTATTTGAACAGTGAGAGACAGAATAACAACAAAATCCAGAAAAACGCATGTCAAAAATTTTATGAATTGATTTGCATTTTAATGAGGGAAATAAGTATTTGACCCCTCTGCAAAACATGACTTAGTACTTGGTGGCAAAACCCTTTTTGGCAATCACAGAGGTCAGACGTTTCTTGGAGTTGGCCACCAGGTTTGCACACATCTCAGGAGGGATTTTGTCCCACTCCTCTTTGCATATATTATCCAAGTCATTAAGGTTTCGAGGCTGACGTTTGGCAACTCGAACCTTCAGCTCCCTCCACAGATTTTCTATGGGATTAAGGTCTGGAGACTGGCTAGGCCACTCCAGGACCTTAATGTGCTTCTTGAGCCACTCCTTTGTTGCCTTGGCCGTGTGTTTTGAGTCATTGTCATGCTGGAATACCCATCCACGACCCATTTTCAATGCCCTGGCTGAGGGAAGGAGATTCTCACCCAAGATTTGACGGTACATAGCCCCGTCCATCGTCCCTTTGATGCGGTGAAGTTGTCCTGTCCCCTTAGCAGAAAAACACCCCCAAAGCATAATGTTTCCACCTCCATGTTTGACGGTGGGGATGGTGTTTTTGGGGTCATAGGCAGCATTCCTCCTCCTCCAAACACGGCAAGTTGAGTTGATGCCAGAGCTCCATTTTGGTCTCATCTGACCACAACACTTTCACCCAGTTGTCCTCCGAATCATTCAGATGTTCATTTACAAACTTCAGACGAGCATGTATGTGCTTTCTTGAGCAGGGGGACCTTGCGGGCGCTGCAGGATTTCAGTCCTTCACGGCGTAGTGTTACCAATTGTTTTCTTGGTGACTATGGCCCAGCTGCCTTGAGATCATTGACAAGATCCTCCCGTGTAGTTCTAGGCTGATTCCTCACCGTTCTCATGATCATTGCAACTCCACGAGGTGAGATCTTGCATGGAGCCCCAGGCCGAGGGAGATTTGACAGTTCATTTGTGTTTCTTCCATTTGCGAATAATCGCACCAACTGTTGTCACCTTCTCACCAAGCTGCTTAGCAATGGTCTTGTAGCCCATTCCAACCTTGTGTAGGTCTACAGTATTGTCCCTGACATCCTTGGAGAGCTCTTTGGTCTTGGCCATGGTGGAGAGTTTGGAATCTGATTGATTGCTTCTGTGGACAGGTGTCTTTTATACAGGTAACAAGCTGAGATTAGGAGCACTCCCTTTAAGAGTGTGCTCCTAATCTCAGCTCATTACCTGTATAAAAGACACCTGGGAGCCAGAAATCTTTCTGATTGAGAGGGGGTCAAATACTTATTTCCCTCATTAAAATTCAAATCAATTTATAACATTTTTGACATGCGTTTTTCTGGATTTTTTTGTTGTTATTCTGTCTCTCACTGTTCAAATAAACCTACCATTAAAATTATAGACTGATCATTTCTTTGTCAGTGGGCAAACGTACAAAATCAGCAGGGGATTAAATACTTTTATCCCTCACTATATATCGTGGTGGGCTTAGGGCAGGACACATTGCTGTAATGCATGATGGATGCAGGTCAAGAAACGACAGTGACAAAGGAGGGTGCACACCTGAATGTCCACACTGATAATTATCATTATGAGCAATGAAATAATCTCATGTGCAGTAGATGGACTTTTACGCTAAACCATGAGATAGTGACGGTTTGTGAATGTTTTTATCTACACGTGGATAGACCATGGCTGAAGAATGTTTTTTGGCATTCTAAACCAATAAAAATACAAGATGGCACAATGTGATGCGAATAACCAAAAGGTCGCAATATACTCTAATAAACCCACAAAACGGTTGACTGCACAACGTAAAAATTACAACTTTATTGTATAAACAAGGGAACATTTATGTTACGTACAAACAATCCTTGCTGCATCTAAACAATTGCATCAATGTATTATTTTCCAAGAATATTATGAAACTGTCTATGAACGCTTGACATCATAAACATGAAGAGCTTATGGACAGCTATACTCGCTCCAGGGCCTCCAACATGATGATACTGTTTCCTCTAATCACCTGTTGAAAAAAACAAAAACAGAGCTCAATTAATGTCAGAAAGTGATTTTTCTGTAACCAAACATTACTTTTTTTATTCCCAATTGCGTAAGGTATATTAAGTGGCAAAACAATGTAAATTCCTTTTAAAACTGACCAAGACAAAACACAGATGCTTTATATAAAACACAGCTCTACCATGGCACTTTTAAATATACACTGCGTCAATGCCAAATGTCGCCATGGGACATTTTATTTATAGCAATACAACTTCACTCTAAGCTATAGAAACAAACGCAAACAATCTAAAGTATTAAAAAATATTACTCAAATTAAAAACGTACTGATATTCTGGCTTATCTGGGCACTATCCGATTAAATATTGTATCCCAAAAGTCTATGTATAATTTGCACGGAGACTAGAATCCCACTCCTCCATAATTACTGCCTTACTCTCCCTCTGATAGAATAGGTTGCCACGCTTCAGAATATTTTGTTTCTTTACATAGTCGGTGCGTTCTATGTAGCAATGGTCAAATCAAGAAGCCATCCTGTTCTTTTGCAGTGACCCTTCCGAAACACCCTACCACCGTGAAGTTTGACAAAATCAAAGTTGCAAGTGAACAAGCACCGAGCAATGGGCGCCACTGTGGCAAAATGTTAACTACCTCGCCTGGTACACAGTTCATGGGATTGATCCCCACCCTGACGCCTATATACTTGGTGTTTGCATGTTCTCCCCATGGTCGCGTGGATTTTTTTCTGGGTCCTCCAGTTTTCCCTTACACATTTATAACGATGAGTTCAGTATTTGGCTATGTGTGGCCAAGTCACCTCCGAAAAAGTCTTATATAGCTCAGTGGGCCTTACCTGGTAAAATAAAATAGTATAGTTTAGATTGATAAAGGCTGATTATGCTGATTTAAATTACATGAAAGCACGACGCCAGTGGCTGCTCACTCACCACCATGCCAACATCGTTCTGCACGCCGCCCTGACACAGCTCAAAGCACTCGTCCATCACCAGGTTCATGAAAGGATCGAAGCCGCGAAGGATGCCCGTTACCGTCCGCGACCCGTTCAACTTCACTGCAAGGCAACAATCAAAGTGAATCAGGCTATACATTTGCAAAATTTCTGTAAAAATAATGTAATCACTAGAGTCGACAAAGCTCTAGGGTATAAAGAAACAAATTAAGAGCACTTAAGCGCCATAGTGTTCGGTCAAAAAATCTTAATTATTATACGCTTAGCATTTTTCATGCCCGGCAAAAACGTCGACAATTACTTACGGCTCAGCTTCTTGTCCATGAACCTAACGCCAAGAAACACACACAAGGACGCGCGCACGTTAGGGACAAAGATACACATGGGGCCGTTCATTCATCCACGCACGAAGCCAGCAGGCCGGCGAGACTAATAACAAAGTCGTGCTCGGCGCATACATCGAAGCAATTTATATCCGTGGTCCATTCTTGCGAAAACTAAACACGGTAATCAACAGCAAAGCACCGCACGCGCTGCTGAAAAATTAATGGCGAGTGACAGGCCGCAACCAGCGCCTCGCCTAAGCCCACGCAGGCCGCCGCGCTCATTCCCGCGCTCAACTTCCACAAACTCCCCGCCAGCGTTGACCGCGCGTTGGCTTCCGTGGGGCCGCGTGACCGCCGCTTACTTCTTGAGCTCGGGGGGATGTGCCTTGCTCATGGTGGACGCGGTCTTTCACTCGATTGGAGCCGCGAAATGAAAGTCGCGAAGCGTCTGAGGGGCCCGGTGTCGGGAGGCGAGAGGAGGCCGCGGAGTGTGGCCGACACTGCGTGACGCACTTCCGCTCGAGATCACGTGACGTGCACAGCACCGCCCACCCCCAAGCCCCGCCCCTTATGCCCCCCCCCCCGAACACAATAACGTAGTATATTTAAATGCACGCACGGTCGGTGTAATAATAGTGTACAAGTTTCACAAAAATGGGACGCATTAAATACACAAATAAGAAAACATGTTCATTCGCATGTGATACTGTAATAAACGGTATAGTAAATGAAAACAAAATAAGGTAACAGAGAAATAAATCTAGTTTTATTTTCACTTACCTCGAGTCCTGATGATGACTGTGTGTGTGCAATTGTGGGGACAATTGCACACACATACACTAACGATCTCCCCGTATAGCGTTAACAGGCAAGTGCTGTTCGGAACACTTATCAAGGCCGACACGGCACACAGTGGGTGGGTGGCCACCACCACACCTTTGACTCCCCAGTGGCGATGTTTGTACATCGCGCCAGGTACTCAATTGCGGTTGAGTCGACCTAGGGGAGGCCCACGACTGGATCAGATAATCATTACTGGTGTTGGATATGAGCAGGAATCGAACTTAGGTCGCCGGGTTTGTAGCACAGTAAGCCAACTACTGCTCCCTACAACAACAACCGCCATTCGCCACTAAGTGGCCTGAAATATGGCTCTAGATTTTGGTGTTTATTGTTAAAAATTCGGTCACAGTCCCTATGATCACTGTTACATTGCATTTATGGCTTTTATTTTGGTGATTTCGAAAACGTTTTTTTGGGTTTTTAGCCATGTTTTTGTTTATTGTAGTACGGAGTTAGACTGATGGCCTTAAGCTTAGTTGTCTTGTTGTTGTTGTTTGACTTGCATCCCACTGGGATTTTTGCACACAGCGTTGGTGTACGGTGCTATTTCAGGAATATTTTGATTGTTTTTTTCCTGGATTTTCTTTTTGCACAGTCACATAATCACTTTAAGATGTTTTCTTGTTCATTTTTTTTGTTTGTTGAGGTTGCACCCGATTCAAGAGCCGAATGGCTCACAGGGCTATACCAAATAAATAAACTATGACGTCAACACGACGCTTGTGCTAGGCGATGTGCACCTTGAGGCCACGTGAAGTGTCGAACGCCCGCTGGCAGGTCACGGGGCAGACCCAAGTGCCACGGGTCGACTAAGATGACTGAGATGACTGGCTGATGCACCACCTGTGCCCGCCACTGTCCCAATCTGCTGTGCTTTAGCCACCCGGCGCTCCGCTCGTTGTGAGCGTCGCTCTTCCGCCCTCCGTTGTTGTTGGAGGGCAACTGCCTCCAACTGCCCAGTAGCGTCCTTCACGAGCCTCCTCCACAGAGGCCGATCTTGACACCGCTGGTACCAGTCATCGGCAAGTCCACTCAGCTCCACGTCCTCCTGTACCACGTCACTCCATCTCTTCTCTAGCCCGTGCTGCGCCCGTTTAGCCCCCTCGATCCGGCCGAAGAAAAGCTGTTTCGGCATGCGGTGACTGGGAATGCGGGCTACATGACCCAGCCAACGCAGCCTTGCCTGCCGGAGGAGCTCACCGATGGGACTTTGTCCAGATCTTTCAAGGATTTGTGAGCTCCTCACACAATCCAGTCTGGTTAGATCCAGGATGGATCGTAGGCAAGCCAGCCAAAATGTTTCTAACCGGCGAAGATGTTCCATTAGGGGGGTCCACGTTTCGCAAGCGTAGAGAAGGGAATGACCGTGGCCGAGAAGACCTGAAGCTTCGTGCGGAGCGACAGACCAGGTAGCTTCCACAGAGCATTATGCAACTGATGAAAAGATAATGCCGCTCGACTGATTCGGAGTGAGACCTCTACTGTCAAACCAGAGCCGGTCATGAGCACACTGCCCAGGTATGGGAAACTCTCCACTCTCTCCACAACTGCCCCATCACCAATTGGGAGTTGTGGGGGTGGAGTGTCCGTTGGTACAAAATACCAAGGCAGGTGCTTAGTTTTTGTGGGGCTGATGGCAAGGCCCCACCTCTTAGTGGCACACTCCAGGTTCAGCAGCAGCGCCTTCAACTCCTTATAGTGAGCGGCAATTACTAGATCATCGGCATACATAACGTGGTTGACCAATAGGGAGCCATGCCTGGACCACACCCAGGCAATAATCAGCCTCCTATTGTATCTGTACCAGATGCAAATTCCTCTGCTACAGCCATCAAAGACTTCACGAGCTACGTGGTCAAAAAATATGTTAAATAATGTGGGAGCGAGAGTACATCCCTGTCGCACCCCAAGGTGAAGAGGGAATGGCTCCGACTCCCGGCCACGTAATTTTACCCAGGCCCGCTCACCATCATGAAGGTCCTTAATGATCGTGAGCAGAGGGCCAGGGACTCCGAAAGCACGAAGAATAACCCAGAGCCCAGGCCTACTGATGGTAGCATAGGCCTTGACCAGGTCAATAAAGCAGAGATGTAGGTCTTGTTGGAATTCCCTATACCTCTGCTGTAGCAGACAGACAGAAAATATGGCATCTGTGCAGGACCGCCCTTTACTGAAACCGCATTGGGGCTCCGCAAGCCTCTCCTCAGCGTGCCTAGCTAGGCAATGTTGAATAATCCTTGCCAGGACCTTTCCCGGCACACTGAGGAGTGAGATGCCCTTGTAGTTGTTACAGTCTGTGCGGTCCCCCTTCTTAAAGAGGGGGACCACCAGGGCATCCTTTCAATCCTACGGAACCCATCCAGTGGTCCAGACTGTTGTTATGATGTCATGTAGGGCAGTCTGTGCATAAACGCTACCCTCCCTCAGCATTTCGCTTGGGAGACCATCTCTGCCCGGTGCCTTTCCTGGTCTCAGACTCTGGATCGCCTTTAGTACTTCCTCAACAGATGGCACCTCAGCCAGCCACTCACAGGGGGTGACTTCTTCCAATATTTGAGACACCGCAGCCTCAGCACGGTCATCCCCATTTTGTCCCACGATGTTTTCCATGCCGAGGGATTTCCCCTCCCCCAGGACTTCACAGAAATGCTCAGCAAATCTGAAAACCTGTTCATGGGGGTCGGAGATTGGATCATCGTTTTTTCCCCTAATGATGGTAATAAGTGTAGCGCTGCAGGTTACTGTTTTCATGGAGTTAAATAGCGATGTGATCACGGGCCATTGAGGCAGATTCCATCTCCTCAGCAACCCACGACCACCACCCATCCTTGCAGCGCCTCATGGCTCTCCGAAGCTGTCGCTTTTTTTCAGCCAGCCTGAACACCTCCTCTGTCAACCATAGTCTCTGAAGAAGTCTGGATCGTGTACCCAAAGCAACCATTGCAGCTGCATGAGCCACAGTCCTAAACCTCACCCATTTCCCCTCGACATTTGAATGGAGTGTGGGACGATGCTAACCACAGCCGCAAGCGATTACATTCTCACTTGCAACTTTCATCAGCTAGCTGAGACCAGGCCACCTTGGGTTTGAATGGGATCCTGGGTGTACACCCACCATCGGAGTGGAAGAATAGCAGGCGCAACTTACAGATGACAAGTCGATGGTCAGTGGGCAGATCAGCTCCACGGTAGGTCCTGATGTCAAGGACATGGGCCCTCATCCGCTGTTCCGTCACTACGTTGTCCAGCAGATATTCTTGCTTGGATCCGGCATGTATCCATGATGTTGTATTGATGTGCCAATGCCGGAACAGCGTGTTGGTAATTACAAGCCCATGGGCTGCACAAAAATCTAGCAGCCTCCTGCCGTTGTTAGAGCTGTTCTGGCCCATGCCTTCCAATCACTCCAGACCAGGTGCCAGCATCATTGGGCCTCCCCCCACGGCACTGCCCACCACACCGTTGCCATCCGGCACCACGAGAAGGTAGGGGGGTGTTTTTGCCGGCTCCCCACACACACTTTCACCACACACTCTCCTAGCAGGCTGCTGTGACTCAACACATCTTGTTGAGGAACGCTCCGCTTAACAGTAGTTCCGCGGTTCTTTTCAAAAGTGCGAGTTCGCAAGTCGATGTAAAAAAAAAATCTGTGCGGATATTCGTAAGTCGAGGAATATCTGTATATGTAGCATGTGAATATTAAACAGCAATGTGGCTCCTGTCAGGGGTATTTAGAAGTTGCATCACTGGTTCAGGGCAACCAAGGTGTCTTCTGAACATGATACAATTTTTGGTCACGAAGTAAATGTAAGAGAGTCAATCTCTGAACTTGCATTGTACAATGTATGAATGTATTACTGCATATTAATAAACACATTATATAGTTATTTGATTTTCTAAAGTTTTATAAAAAAAATTCTAAATGAGCTACATTTTCATGTTGATTTTCATAATCAAGAGCCAACACTGCTACATGCTAGGAAATGGCAAACACAGGTCTTTCTTTAAATGTATAATAGTAACAAGAAAATGTTAAATAATTTCACATTCTCCTTTATTGACAGTGTAATTTTCATTTTCAATCATCCTATAGGTCAAGAAAATGTAATAACTGTCAGGGCCCAAGTCATTAACATTAGACTTAACACAATAAACCACACACAGTATCCAACAACCACAACATATGTAAAAAATATGTTGCAAAAGCTGTTGACAAGTCAGCTCATATTTAGGTAAAATAATGTATTTGTACATGCACCAATAGCCTGAGTGCAAGCCACCCTCACTACCCTAGCAATGTCATACAATATTTCAGATTTCATATCTTCTCTCCAAACAGCAAGTTCACCGACTGCTCTTCCTCCACATTTTCATCTGGTGAGGACAGTTACTGTGGCAAGGATGATAGAGTGTCGTGTAATCGACGAGTCGCATTGGGGATGAGATCTTGGTGTTCATCTGCACAAGCGCGCACACATGACTCCAGCTGCTGTTTTACGACTTGCTCCTTGGTCCCCGAGTCAAACGAGTCCTTGGCCTTGTCACTGCAGCTCATTGCACAGCGTTGCAAGCGGTTCTAAACGCAGAAATATAGAAAATATTTGTGAATGATACAAAAATCAAACCAATGCAGGATGCACATAAAAGGCTGATTGGACAAATGGTCAGGAAACAAGAGCAAACCTGAAACCTTTCCAGCTCATTGGTGACAATGCTCTGGGCCTGCACCAGAGGGGCATGGCATCTCTCGATACAATGGTGTACAGCCGACATTGACGCTGCGCTGTTTTCACAGCACTCTGCACTGCAGCGGAACATGCGTGCCTGGAGAACAGCACATAGAAACATATCAAATATTCCATACTCTTAGAAATCTTAGCGGTAATAAGACACTGCAATCGGCAACATCAACCTATAGGCACCTATTTGCCGACACCTCTAGTCTAGTGCACATGTAAACGTGCCCACCTAGTTGCTGTAGCTTCTGTACTGTAAAACATGTGCAAGTGTATGGTTTACACTTTGGTATGGTTTTACCTGCATTTTACGGATGTGTTCCCTCTCCAGCTTGTCCACCATGCCATTCACGGCATCCTGCACCTTCGTCTGCGCTGCCTCCACGCCGTCCATGTCCAGGGTCTGATCCTGCAGCCAGCAGGTCAATGCAAGGTGTCTTCCATCACCATCATCATTCATACATTGTGTATCCACTGCTGGTTAAAAGTCTCCGCATATCTCCACTCACATCCCGCAAGCTTCTAAAATGCCACAATATACCTCAATATACCTCACTCCTGAAGATATATCGTTCCACCTCTAGTAGTTGTAACTTGTTGGGTACATTTTCTTTACATCTGTCACCAGTCTCATCCATTGGCCATAAACACGTCTTTTGATGTATCCCGCCCAAGCCCACTTACTTTCTCTACAGTCGATATGTCTCTGATTTTGCATTTGTTCCGCCGATGCACAGATTCCTTTATTTTAAGTACAATTACAAACATCCATCGAATGAAACACGATAAATTCGCCAAATTAAAACACTCATTAATTAAAGTTGCCAAACAATACCATGCAGGACCCTCCTGAAAAAGTATTGCGACTTCATTAGCTTTGATGTGTAAACAGTACAACAGTATTATTAATCTCTATATGCTCAATACACTTTTCACCTTTTGTTCCCTATAATTTGCAAGTTCTTGAGATTAGAATGACTATATGGATTTGCACGCACAGCCCTGCTGCCAATCCATTTGCAGGACGACGCAAACAAGGGATCTGGGTTGTAGGCATTATTTGACCATAAGCTCGTCAGTACGGGTTGGTGAAGGCGAAGAGCACAGACGTGGAGGCATAGAACAGAACAGTAATTTTGTCCTGCATTGCCATCTGACTTCACAACTGCAGCTCCGAGAAAAGTTGTTTGTGCATTGTGGTCACCCATTCAAGCACTAACTAGGCTTAGGATCCGAGGTCAGACGTAATCAAGATTATTACTGGCGAGTTGATTCATTGCCGTAGTATTGTAATTCTCATGAGAAGCCATGGTCGATCAACTGTTGAACGAAAGCCTCTCTATCACGCCACCATCTCTCACTACCCTGTCATGAAATATCGTACGAACATTAAATGCAATACATTTCTATTTTAACCGCTTGCACAAACGACACCTACACCACCAAGGGTCAGTCATTTACAGTTGATATAAAACAGTGAAAGCCATAACATCATTAACATACGATGTCATCACCTTTAATTAAATTTACCCAGTGTTGCAAACTCTTATACCGAATCCTTAATACCGTTTCTGGAAGCCAAAACGGAAGCAGAATTGTCCTCGTCCCAGACAGTATTTGTGGGCAGAAGCTTTGACAAATTTGCCGTCGTTAGGAAAACCCCAAAAAGTCGCTCCCTAAATCTATCGACAAAATCAATAAAAAAACACATTGGTCAATAACACCACTGTCTTAAAAGTAAAACACATCTATAAAATAGGCGACGTTTCGGACAACGGCACTTCTTCATAGCAACTACGTTGGCGACACTTGTCTTTCAAACACCCGGTGAGGTGCCCGCAGTTCGCGCTAGCAACCAATGGCCTCGAACGACAATCCTCTCAAACAGCTCACCCGTCGCACGTCGTTGACTATCCAAGAGCTCGCAGGGGCCAACCTCGACAACGCAGCACGAGTGCACGCGGGCACGCAACGCGAGACTGCCCACGCACGCGTGCCGGCGACCTCTACCGCAACACGTGGTGGTGGTGGGTGGAGCGAGAAGCAGCGACCTCCACCCCCGATCCCATTAAATTCTTCCGGGGGAACCCCAACGTCACATCCTGTAAGGTTCCGGTAACACGGTCTCTCCGTCATTAGTTCGCGATGTTTTGAAAATGCGTTTGTGGCCGTCCATAAATGACGTCACGCACCTAGGGGTGGGGGCTAGACATTTGTGACGCTCTTCTTTGGTTCTTTCGGTAAAGTCACGTAGAATGAGAATAAAATAAAACAATAAAATTCTCACGACGTTTCGGCCACAACACAAGTGGCCTTCTTCAGGTGAAAGGAACAAACCAGTCGACGATGTGTGACGAGCGGGGAGGGGGTTTGAGAAATATGACGTCACATCAAAATGCGCAACTTTAAATAAATGTAGACAACACGTTCTACTTAATTAAATAGACTTTTTAATAAATGTTTTCTCCTACAACATCAGAGTGCAGCGGCACATTAAATACGCACTGCAATGACAACAATAGTTTAAAGCGATTTGAAGCGTGTCTTATTTTGGGGGGGGGGGGGGGCAGAGCTTTGTGACGTCATATTTGAGGGGGTCTGACTTTTTGTGACGTCGTGCGAAGGGGGTGGGGGGGTCAAAAATCGTCAAAAATCGCGTGACGTCATTTATGGGCGGCACCTTTTTAGTAATGTTAGTACAATTTTTTTAATTATGTTACTCAATAGGTATACTTAGGTAACTTCGTACGGTAATTTCATAAGATTTATTTATACTGGAGGAATCCGATAAGCTACAAAGTTATTTTCCACAGATGTCCAGTAGGGGCGGGTCAGAGAGTTACAATACAAAAACACGATGGGAGTGCAAAATATAGCAAAGGTAAACAAATCACTAGAAAATGATATACAAATAAAATTACAATGATTTTTTTTTATCTCAGCAGGTACCTTTTAATGGATTTGTTAATCAATAGCTACACTTAGGTAACGAGTCATACAATTGAATAACTTTGTCATCAGACAATTTGTTTACAACTAGCTTTTTTGCTCGTCGAAGGACGGGTGTATATTGCAGTAAATCAGAAATTTAAATAGAAAAATTGTTCACCACCCGCTCCCCACAGGTGACGTCACCTCTTTCCGTGTGGGTGACGTCACCACTCAACCCCGTGGGTGACAACACCCGCTCACCACTCGCTCACTATAGGTGACGTCACTTCTCCGCGTGGGTGACGTCCTACCTCACAACCCCGTGGGTGACACCACCCGCTCACCACTCGCTCACAGGTGACGTCATCTCTCTCCGCGTGGGTGACGTCACCACTCACAACCCCGTGGGTGACACCACCTGCTCACCACTGGCTCACTATAGGTGACGTCATCTCTCTCTGTGTGGGTGACGTCACCACTCACAACCCCGTGGGTGACAACACCCGCTCCCCACTCGCTCACTATAGGTGACGTCACCTCTCCGCATGGGTGACGTCCTATCTCAACCCCGTCGGTGACACCACCCGCTCACCACTCGCTCACTACAGGTGACGTCATCTCTACGCGTGGGTGACGTCACCACTCACAACCCCGTGGGTGACAACACCCGCTCACCACTCGCTCACTATAGGTGACGTAACTCTATCTCCGCGTTGAGTGACCGTCACCGCTCGTATCCTATGGGTGACACCGCTCTCCACTCGCTCCGCGTGCGTGACGTCCTCCACTCGCTCTCTATATTGACGTCACCACTCGCTCCCTATCGGTGACGTAAACACTTGCTTATCCCCGTGGATGTGACGTCATCGAAACGAGGCAAAACAGTGGCGCTGGTGTGGGAGAAGCCGTCGCTGGTTCTGTCGGGGTTGGGGTTAGGGGTAGTGGAGGAGGAGGAGACAGTGGAAGGGAACTGGTTGCTCGTGGCGGCGTCAGCGACTGTGAGTTGCAAGAGACAAAGACAACCGTGGGAGCCGGATACATGACTGTCATTGGCATTTAGGGCCTACAGCAAATCTCACCGAGAGTGCGCAACGTCTCGGAAGCTCGGCGAACGCGAGGTTTGCGATTGTGCTACCTTGGGTGACAACCGTGCCGTGGCAGCTTGTCATCGGCTGCTGCGAGGTTGCGTTGGGCAGCAGAGGGCAGTGCGGTGGAGTTCCATTGCAGTGTACCATGATGTGCAAGAGCACCGACCAGCCTGATGTATGATCGAGTAACATTTACGACCCGCACGATATGAGGTTCTCACCCAGCAGTGGTTTGACATTTAATGTCATGAGAGACCTCCTGTACATCTTCTGGCCAGTGAGAGTGTGAAAACGACTGAGTTAATTGTAGGTGAAGATGGAACGTCACAGTCCGTGCTGGACAAATTTGGGCTCCACTTTGGCGATATTGGGTTACGGCTAACATGCTGGTGGTCACTGTGATATAATAGTGGTACCAACGTGGCATTGACTTTGTATTGATATGTTGACGTGCAGTACAGTAATTGTTCTGAGTGTGTACGGTCATTTGGAATTGTGCATAAAATTACGAAATCCCCTTGGTGGTCAGTGTGTATTGGTTCGAGTGGTAAGCAGGGCCTATATGTTTACGTTTGGGACTATCCTGATTGATTTCCATCGTTGTACTCTTAACTTCAATGTCGTCTCTCATCCAGTAATTTGGAGGCAACAGGTTTGTAGATTTTACTTGGATGTGAAACTTCCAAACCGCCTGGGATTTGAGGTGGTTGGAAGACTATAGAATAGCATTTGGGGAAAATGAACCCGTTTTCCCGCATACAATTGGATATTATTTAGGTAAGATAAGTATTTTTTTAAAATCTCCAGAATACAAAGTGCTCTGAAATTTTTTCTTCCAAACATCCGAATGTAGAACCCTCCTGAAAAAGTATTCTTGATTAGGCTTTCCTGGGTAGTTAAATGACAGTCAATTATTTCACTACATCGAACATTTTGGTATGTTAAAGACTCATCATCCTTCCCCAATATGATAAGTACATGTGATGCAAAGCCTGCTTAGAATTATTCAGCAAAGAAGAAAATTTACGCAAATTAATTACGCTAATGATCCAATACATTTTCTGGGAACTACAATTAAAACTTCACATCTAGATTGAACTACACATCAGTCGTATTCAGCACCCTGTTGTTTCACATTGCCATTAAATAACAACTGTAATTGCTGAAACTGTACCACTTAAAATTTGACATGAATGCGTTTAGTATTTTACAGTACCAGATTATGGCTACAGGTTATGGCTACAGATTTTTGTTCTTTCCCCCACCTTGTTTTACAGAGCCATGGAGTCCCCAGAGATGGTGTTTACACTTGCCTACCTCCTTTTTTGTGTATGCTTCTTGCTGACCCCCACGGAGTTCCGCTCGGCGGGAATCACGGTGCAAGGGCTCTTCTCGGGGTGGCTGGGTAGTGAGGATCTCGACTTTGTGCGCTACCATACACGGCGCACCACCACCACCATGGTTGTGCATGCCCTCCTGCCTCTTGGTATGCGTGAGCACAGCTTGCTCGTGTTGTAAATCAACTGATCTTGCTGTTTTTGTGACTGTGACATGTTGGTGTTTTTATATCAAATGTATAGGTTGTAGGTTAAGGTTTTACTAAATATAAGGTCACACTATAGAGCAGTGGTTCCCAACCATTCTGGATTTGCAGACCACTGTTATCCCTTAAACATTTTTCGGACTACTATGCACCAATAGCATATCTTTAGTTAATTATAACCAATCTAAATCATAGTATCTGCTTTCATTCCACGGACCACTTACCTTGCAAGACTACCAGTGGTCAGGTTAGAAACCACAGGTTGGGGCGATACCAGTTTGGGATGCATAATTAAAATAACTAGCCATTTTATTTCATTTACATGTGGTTTTGCCTGATATTTGTAATTATTAATACAACTGTTTGAATTGGTAATATTTATAAGACGTTAAAATAACCAATGCCAAGTAGGCGCTGTTCATTAAATAAGATAAAGCTCTTGTGTTACATGTAAAACTACTGAAAATAGTGCCATGGGAATTTTTTTAAAAAGTGTATGTGAAGCCAATAAACTATTTTCTTAATAAAAAATGAAAACTAAACAAATATATATGTTCTCACCGCTACCCAGGTTACTACATCGGAATGGGCTTCACTGTACCAAAAGCACAACTATTTTACTTCCACAAGGCCAGTGACAGCTGGAGGATGTACCTGCTCGTCTCCCTCATCGTGCCTGCTTGCTTGGGCACGCTGGGATTTTTTTGGTCACGGAATGGCTGGGGAAACCATCCACTTGCACGGGCGCTTGCCCGCCATGTTTCATCTTCCATGAGTTGGCGAATCGCTGCTGTGTCGCTGAACACAGAGTTCCGACGCATTGACAAGTTTGCCACGGGTCCTCCGGAGGCAAGAGTCATTGTCACAGATTCTTGGGTGGTGAAGGTAAAAGCTCGTTGATCTTGAATAAAAACTTAACTCTGATTTAAAACAATTAATAAATTACTTAATGTAAATGATGTACATCGGACCAGTGTGGTGTTTATCATGTGTGGCTGCAGGTGACTCCTTACAAAGTGAACGTGGCTCAGCAGCGCGACATACACCTGACCTTGATCGAGTCACGGCAGCACTCGCTGTCGCCTGAAACAAGTTCTGCCATTCAGTTCCTCACCATACGCGTGGTCAGCATCACCCCAGGCGTGCCAGCTTTCGATATTAGGTGAGAAGACCCAAGAGGCAGAGCTTCCTCTTATTTCTCTTTGACAGATGTTCCCATGAATTACCCAAAAAAAATAATACTGCTTATGTTCTTCATTTTAAACTAAAAACTAGTGATTTCACGATTCACCTCCCAATAATTTGATGAATTGTTGCAATTCAGTGGTGTTTCTATTCAATAATATATATTTTTTTAACAAGTTGAATGTAGTGGCTACTTGTCTGCAGATGTCATGTAAAACCATTATATAAAACATGCAAATAAAAATACTGGTTATTATGTAGGTTCCATGTGGTTTAGAATTACTGAATACATCGTTTCATCCCTACCAAAATATTTGAATGTTATTTGAACTGCATTATCTTATATTTCTAAATGCGGTCAAACTCAGTTTATCTGTGACAATGTTCCATGAATTCGTTACTCGGAATCAGCTAAAACGAGTTGTCTCTTCCAAATATCCAGAGGGCATGGCCATCTAAATATTAGGGGTCCAGACCATGATTAAAAAGAGTTATATGGCAACTACTTACAGTTATTCGGGGTTAGAACCAATGATACATAGAGTTATTCAGCAAAATTCTTCCAAATATCCGGGATTAACCGGGGTAAAGTGGCTGAAGAGAACTTAGGACCACCTCCTGCTGCCAAATCAAGTATGGATGCAAATGCTGATGCAGTGCTATATGCACTGCATTGCTGAGGCGCGAGTCCTTCAGGGTCTCTCCCTTTCCCATACGCATGTCGTGTTTGGAGAAATACTGTAGGACTTGCCTTCGGAGGCATGCAACGAATGATTGTGCCCTTGTTCGGATGGAAACTTCATCACAAAACGCTTGGGACCATGAATAAATGGAAAATTATTCCAATTATCCGAGGTTATCCATGGCTAATCCCAACCCCATACCTCTCCCACCTCCCGTTGGAACCCTGGATATTTGGAACAGGGGTACCTATTCCCCTGTTTACCCGAGAAACACGGAGTTTGCTTCCTCTCTATGGCCACCGTTTGGCACCACTAGGTGTCACTATGAAAGCAGTTATAATCGGAAGGACTTTAAACTGGGCCAGCAGCTTCAGAAATCGTGATGCATATCATAAACAAATTAACCACAAGATGTTTCCCACAACATTCTCTTTTAGGGTTTTTTAGCTGCAGTATCCTATTAGGGAGTAAGTTTATTTCCCAATAGATGTGGCTTTGATATTTTTTGGCAGATTGGCATTGTTACTCAAGTAAAAAAAAAGAGTACAATCTATGTATTGTGATAATAGGTTTTATATAATATTTAGATTTTCTATATATGTCATTCACTAGAGTACTTGAAGTGTTTAAAAAACTACACTAATGTTTTCATTGGGCTGCAAACAATATGATGTGTTTGAGATATTGCTATTTGATTATCTCAAGAATGCTTCATATTTTTTTTCCACAAGTGCAAATTTTCCATTGCCAGTGATTTTTTTCACTAGATATTTGCAAAGGAACGTGTTTTATCAACATGTGAATAAATAGTTAACCTAAAGTAAATAATCTAAAAAGCAACGCAACCAAAGTTTCATCTGTTCTTTAAACAGTTTAGCATCATAATTACCTTTTAAAAGCTGTCCTGATTAATCATTCTCCTTTCCTCTTATGTTATTTATTAATGTCTTGAAAGGCAGTAAATTGTTTGCAGGACAGTATATAGATAATGTTTTAAATTTTTAATTTATTTTTCTCCAATTTACTTTATCAAGTGTTTTTAAACACATTGTCTAAATGCCATTACGTGTGCTGTTTTGGGATAATTTAACTATTTATATGCAATGAACATTGACTTATTCCTGAAAAAGTCATGAATATAACGAATAAAGCAACGTGCATTCCTGCAATTGCTAACTGAACTGTATCTGGGATCCTACTGTGACTGTAATCATACCCGTCATGAAGCAGCAGGGTTTCGATTTTCCCCAATGAATAGTGCCATATTTTTCTTCTTGGTTCTTTCGGTAAAGTCACGTAGAATGGAAATAAAATAATAATAACAATAAAATTCTCACGACATTTCGGCAACAACACAAGTAGCCTTCCTCAGGTCAAGAAACAGGACTGTCGGGAAGACAGCGCTTGAGTGAACACTGCCAAGCTTGGCAGCGTCTTTTAAACTTGGTGGGAGGAACAGAGCGCCTTGACAAAGGAGTTTACATATCAACAGTAGCTGTGTTAATGTGTTTGATTAGCAGGATGTTAAAGTCAGAAATTAGCATGTAACTGGGGGATTAGCATGATGTTGGTGTGAGGGATTAGCACCACGGAGAGCGACGAGCTTTGTTCAGACGGACGAGTCCATCTATATTCTTAGTTTTTTCGGTAAAGTCACGTTGAAGAGAAACAACAAAATAACAAAATATATATAAAACAATAAAAAATTCTCACGACGTTTCGACCATAACTCAAACGGTCATCATCAGGTGTGTCGGTTTGCATAAATTTATTTTGAAAACTGCATATTTATTTATATATATAAAAATAACGTTTGCGTCACGCGCAACGATGGCAGTTTGCCAGGACTAGTCCATCTATTTTTTGAAAAGAGGAGGGGGGAGACGAAATTTGTTTTTATGTATGCTGTCTGAAAGGCACTGTAAGCGTGAACAATCAATCAAGAACTGAAATGATTTATCAAATCTTTCCAATGATTGCTAAGATAGAATCCATCTTCTCGGTTGAAATTGTCTCTGTGTTTGCATATGTGGATAGCCTCATGAACGAATCTCTCATGGAAGCCAGATGGCTTACAAAGAACCTCCGTCTTGGAAAAGTCAATGGCATGTGAGCCTACTGAATTAGAACAATGATCTGCTACGGCCGAGGTGTTGGTCCTACCGTGTTTAAGGTCTGCTTTATGTTCACGAATGCGGTCCGAGATATGGCGTTTGGTTTCTCCAATGTAACTACTACCACAGAGGCAACTTAGTTTGTAGACACCAGGGTATTGTATGTCCGGAATCACATCTTTTACAGACGGAACCAGATCACGGATTTTATGTAATGTGTTGAAACGGACCTGGATCTTGTGTTTATTCAAGATTTTGGAGATCTTTTTTGTGATCCCAGCAATGTAGGGTAAAGTGATGGTTTTGAAAGGCTCCTCAAGAGGGTTCTTCTTCATGGTTTGAGTGATAGCTTTGCGGATTGTATAGTCGGAGTAACCATTAGCCCTAAGAGCTTGGTGTACGTGCTTGAGTTCACTGCTTATGTGTTCCTGGTCGGATATGCATTGGGCTCTATGATACAGAGTCTTGATGAGAGAATTCTTCTGTGATGGATGGTGGTGGGAATCCGGTTTCAGATAAGCATCCGTATGGGTAGCTTTCCTGTAGACAGAGTGGCTCATTGAACCATCAGGAGGGGGAGAGGAGTTTACATATCAACAGTAGCTGTGTTAATGTGTTGGATTAGCAGGATGTTAAAGTCAGAAATTAGCATGTAACTGGGGGATTAGCATGATGTTAGTATAAGGGATTAGCACCACGGAGAGCGACGAGCTTTGTTCAGACGGACGAGTCCATCTATGTTCCGAACGGAGCAGGGGGGAGAGGAGGAAACAGCCACGGTGCGCTGCTCTGTCCTGTGTTGCGTTATAACTATGCTATAAACTAGACTACTATACATTACAATATTATACCTTCCAATCTAAACTACATTATATAATATCGTATACACAGCCCAATGTAAGCTCTAACATTATGCATTATATTGATATGCCTCCAACTAAACTTTTCGAAATTACACGACTATACACCGTAATATACACTGCCATAGACAAACCCCACCCTTGAATTATACAATGCGTTACTATACACTACCCTATACTTTCGACTATAAAATATTAGACTTGTAGTATTACACTATGTATTATTCTACTAACCCTACTGTATACCACTGCTGTATATTCACTATGCAATTACGGTACTATGTATTGCCTTATGAATCATGTTAAACATTAAACTGTTATACTATTTATTATTGTACAAATGCTATAAACTATACTAGTGACCGTCGTGTGATAGGTACTAATAGGCAGTGCCAGCGAATGGACTGCGGTCTGAAAGTCACCGTAAAATACATACTAAGCCAGAATCCATCTTCTCGATTGAAATTGTCTCTGTGTTTGTATATGTGGATAGCCTCATGAACGAATCTCTCATGGTAGCCGGATGGCTTGCAGAGAACCTCCGTCTTGGAGAAGGCAATGTCATGTGTGCCCACTGAATTATAACAGTGATCTGCCACGGCTGAGGTGTTCGTCCTACCATGTTTCAAGTCTGCTTTATGTTCACGGATGCGGTCCGAGATATGTCGTTTGGTTTCTCCAATGTAGCTGCTACCACAGAGGCAACTTAGTTTGTAGACGCCCAGATACTGTATGTCTGGAACCACATTTTTTACAGACGGAACCAGATCACAGATTTTATGTACTGTGTTGAATCGGACCTGGATCTTGTGCTTATTCAGGATTTTAGAGATATTTTTTTGTGACCGCTGCAATGTAGGGTAAGGTTATGGTTTTGAATGGCTCCTCAAGAGGATCCTTCTTCATGGTTGGAGTGATGGCTTTGCGGATTGTGTAGTCAGAGTAACCATTAGCCTTGAGAGTTTGGTGTACGTGCTTGAGTTCACTGGCAATGTGTTCCTGGTCGGAAATGCATTGGGCTCTATGGTATAGAGTCTTGATGAGGGAATTCTTCTGGGATGGATGGTGGTGCAAATCCGGTTTTAAGTAAGCATCCGTATGGGTAGCTTTCCTGTAGACAATGTGGCTCATTGAACCATCAGGTCTCCTTTTACTGGTAAGAACCAAGTTGTAAACTGAGTGTACCAGCCTGCAATAGATTAATGTGTCCGTCCGTCCGTCCCCTTTCAATACTTTAACGAAGTGGAATCTCGTGCTGTTGGGTGTAAAATCAGCAATAGACAGGGCAGAGACTTGTCCTACCAGCCCACCCTGCAGGGACCTGTTAATTAGGACATCCAAAAAGGGTAGTTTGCCATCTTTTTCGACTTCCATGGTAAATCTGATGGCTGGGTGTATGAAATTAATGTGGTTGAGGAATTGGTCTAGAGCAGGACGGCCATGTGGCCAGATGACAAAAGTGTCATCCACGTACCTCTTCCATAAGGTCGGGCATACAGTGGCAGTCTGGATGGCGTCAGTCTCAAATTTTTCCATATTTCTTTCAAGTAATATTAATATTTTAATGGCTAATGCAGACTGCTTGTTGTCATACTTTCCAGATATGGTTGGGATGTTAAATGTTTTAATTAAGATGTACAGCCATTTATCATCCTACTACTGGGTGAAGATCTTCACACACCACATGGATTAATGGGTTTGTTTGACCATACTTCACCTCACTGGTCATTGCGGGTTTGTAAAGTGGGGAGGCTGCAAGACCAGTGTAGATATCAGTCACCACTGATGGTAGCCATGGCCATGAATTTAACTCAGGCCAGCTGGTTCATCATCCAATGTGGATATCTCCCCTTAAGCATAAAATGTATCATTAAATTACATAGGCTATGTTGTGAGCAGCAGACGGCAGCACATCAGATCCATGTCCTGGACATCTGTGAAAAGAGCTTGATAGCTCATTGGATTTCTCCAGGATAAATACAGATTCTGATTATTGTACTGTTTCAATCTCCTGCGTTTATATGCTCCCTGCCATCACCAACCTGTAGTGACCAGTGTGGCGAAATGTGGTCAAATGACATTCACGACCTGCACCATGTGGGGAGACCCTAATTGAGTAGTCAATTGACAAAATCGCTACATGAAAGTAACAAAGGTATGTTAGGTTTTTGGTAACGTAATTTATTAACCTGCATAAGAGAGGGACAAAAAGCATACTGTATACTACAAACTAATGTGCAAAATGACCGGGTGGCAGGTTGAACTCGACAGAATATGGAGAACTGCGAGAGAAGTTGCATGCCCCAATACGCAATGCTCGCAACGTGGTCATCCACCAAACGCTCAGCGACCTCTTCCTGGAGGCTTTCAAGACTCAAGTGGAGCTCAATGACTGCTACTACATGCCAGTCGGGCAGCCGCAGGTACACCCCGAACCCAATACTGAACCACGCAATATTGCGCCTCTCTGCAGCCTTGGTCACGAGAGTGCTTAACAAGCAAACTATTTCCCATTTAGAAATTACGGTACTGTGTTCAGCTGTTGTGTGTTATTCTGTTCACGTAACATTTTTTTAATATGACAAAAAAAAAAATGCTTTATTTCTGAATGTTTAGCTCAATCACTCACCTTTGTTATAACAGCTATTCTGTAATAAGTCTACTTGTAATTATGGAGAAACCTTCTTTGGTTCTTTCGGTAACCGTTGGTGTTTTGTCTAATCTTGGAAAGTTCAAAGTGGAAGTGTCATGTAAAACATTTGTCTGAGAGATTTGTTGACATGAATGGGCATAGAAAATGTTTGTTTTCATGCAAAAGTAGCTCAGCAGCTTCATGAATACCAACATCATAAAGCTAATATTATACAGTTCAATTGACATCTATGATATGTCCTGTGCTGGTGTTGAAATTCATTTTAATGCTTAACACCTCATGGAAAACAAATGGAAGTAGTCTGAAATTCAGTGCATTCTCTTTTGAATAATTTATATTGCATTATAATATTATGTACAACATAAAACTTCACGCATCACAACAATGTGCATTCAAGGATTGGCACGTGTGAAATTGAGGGTCCTTTTTATCATTTAAAATCTACAAGCTTTTAAATAGAGTATAGGTCATGTAGTGGGGTTCATGTAAATGCCTGTTGTTTTACGTGCAAAATTTACTCAAAGCCAGTGTGACCAATTAAGAATTGAAATACATGAAAACGTTTAAATTCTAATAGTATATGATAACCAATGTACTGAAAACGTTTTGTAAAGTTAACTTATGCTAATGTATGAAAGTACAAAACTGTTTAAACATGACATTTAAAATTTAAAAAATACTTCTATTCAGCAGGTATGGGTGGAGCACACAACACTATAAACCGGATGACCTTGGTTTGATTTCAAGCTATGACTAACATCAGTGACAAGTGACATCTTATCCACTTCTGCTCCCCCCCCCCTTCACAAACCTGTGCTAACAAGCAGGAAGTATGGTCAAATAACGACACTGGGGAGGCATTCATTCAGCAGTAAATTGGCACAGACCTGTGTATTATTGTATTTATAATCAATGTAAGACAATAATAGTGAATGTCTTGGTGCGCAATTTGGCAGTTTTCACGTGATTTCCAAATAAAATAATATGCACATTAACATAATTGTTATTCCATTTCTAAAGTGTTTATCAGCTAGTCAACATCAAACATTGTGCATGACAGTGAGCATTTCAAATGTTTATATATTTAAAAAAAATTGGTAAATTAGCTTTCAGAATCATTTGAATTCTGAATTTTCATTATATTTGTAGCTATTGCAATACAATTTTATTTAAATATTTCCAAGAAAAGTAAATTAATGTTTTTGCAGCATACTCCAGCAATAACCATGTTAAACAAGCCCATGTTGATTTTAATTATGGTTAGCTGCAGAACTACTGACCTTGTTTATGTACAATATTTTTCCATTCATGCCTGGGAGTTCAAAACTGTGTTTTTGTTTAGCTATATAAAAACAAGTCTTCCAACATAACCAATTTAACAACGTTAGTATGTGCCGAAAAGCCAATAGATGTATCAGCAGTGGCATCTTATCTGCACCAACTTCAATGGGCTGTCATCCCAGAGGAGAAAATGGATTTTGAATGGATTTAGTTGTCCTGTTTTTCTATCAAGCTGCCTCTCCTCAAGGGGATGTAGGGAAATGTATATGGTTGGCTCGACACGGCGACAGACTAATTTGTAGATCGGATCGCCCATGTCTGACCTGAGTCGGTGACAGCGGCGATCAGCTTACCTGTCCTTCATTGGCCACACAAAACAGCGTTGTGTGTCGCCTCCATACTAACGGTCAGCGACAGTACCTTCCACATGAGTGTGGCCGTTGTTGTGACCAGGCGGTCAGCACTGCTGTGCATCTCCCCTTAATAATAAATACAAAAACATTCCAGGAGGAGCAGACAACACTTGGCGCAGAACAAAACACAAAAGGTGGCCCTGTCCGAAGGGTATGGGTTCTTGTGTATGCCTGCTGACCCATGAGGGTTGAGCAGAGTTCAGGTTGCCTCGTGGGAATTACCATGGCTATTATTTCTGGCCAAGCTCAAACTCAAAAAGTCTAACAATACCTTTCCTCCCAAGCCAAGCAATAAAATAAGATAAAGCACCATATTTCATTCATGTTTCCAATGAATATGCTGTACACATAATATTGTCCATATGCTAAGCATGTTCTTTGGGTAATTTTGTCCATGATATGTAAAGGGACATTAGTGCCAGCCAGTGTTAAAAAAAATCTGGTCATTAATTATTAGGAAATTCTGAATACATGGCTGGGACAGTAATGTGCAATGGCAATACTTGGCACAGGCAGGGTGATATATTCTCACAAACATTTGAAGTTGCTCGTGAAGCTTGCTGCAGGCAAACAAGTGACGTAGGTGCACTCGCATGCACACCCAAACTCACGCAATGGCTCCAAGATCACACGCATGCAAAGGACTGAATAAACAATCCGTTATTTTCCCAATAGTATCTGTAAGCAGCATGTTTAAATGTCAAAATGTATCTTTCGCGTATGTTACAATTCGTGAAGAAAAACACAGCCCTAAACATCACTGATTTTCTCAAATAAGGAATCCTATTTTGTGCACAGGCCTGATGTGCATTTTATCAACGCTTATCCACATAAATCTGCTTTCCTCACTCGTCTAGGAGACGGAGCCATGCATCGGATGCATGCAGGTGCCAGCCACCGTGAAGCTGCACAAACAGTGCGATGGGAACGCCGAGGGAGAGTGTCAGACTTGCTTCTGCCGTCCCATGTGGTGCCTCACGTGCATGGGCAAGTGGTTTGCCAGCCGGCAGGACCAGCAGCACCCGGAGGTGTGGCTATCGAGCCGAGCGCCGTGCCCCACGTGCCGCGCCAGGTTCTGCATCCTTGACGTGGCTCTCGTACGATAACCGCACGCTTGTAAATGTTTGGTCCAGTGTTATTTTGAGCATCTCGGGCACAAATGTTTCCAGATCTTAAATGCAATTGATGGATTTTTTTTATATTTTGAAAATTTAAAACACTGACCCCCCCCCCCCACTTCCTACTTCGAGGAAAATAATACAAAAAGTTTAAAAGATCTCTTGTACATTTCTTGGACAAAGTGGGTGAAAATGTAAAGCATCCATCTGGTTTTGTTAAACGTTTACTTTGTTTAAAAATAAATAAAATACAGTCTACGTTTACTAATACTGTCTTGCTTTCCTTACTAAATTTAAAGTATGATCGTCATTATTTTACATTGTGCAATGCCCAATCTCTGTCCATTCACATGCTAGCCGTTATCTTAAGCTACTTATAAAGTAACAATTATGTTACTTTATAATTGGAACATTTTCGGTGCAAGTGCTTATTTTGAAAAGTTTCCTTAAATTATACTTGGTTGGCTTGACCGTGACCTCCAACCAATGCAGTTTAGGTCAAAGGCAAGACTTACGCAAACACCAATGCATCAAGGGCAGTCAAAATTGCATTCTTCATAGTTGCAACTGTTTGCCTCAAATATCGTGACACCTCGGGTTTGCATTTGTACATTCCCATTGCAAAGAGGCACATAACCGTATTGGAGGGTACACCGGTGCACGGTATATATAAAAAAATAGCAGTAATTTTTTTTTGTCCCACGATTTGCACAACTCCGGTCATAAAATCTTGTGGGGTATGTCAAAATCAGTTCTCGTGATGTCAAAGCAGTCGGAAGACGAATGTTACAAGCAACTGAACACGAAGCTTCACAGTCTGTTACTGTATAGCACCCAGCCTGATGACGATTGGCTCCATGTTTCAAAGGCAGATTTTACTCGTGCCTTAGATTTGGTTGGACAATAATTTCTTGGTGGACTGTGGCATTAAAACATTTTGACTTGTCACACATTCGAATGGGAAAGCAGCTGCTGAATCAACTTCTGATGAAGAGTGCAACTCACTCAAGGGCAACAGCGACATCATCAGACTGTTTTATGAGGCACGGTGTGTTATGCTGCACCGGTGTCCGCCAATACATCCATATAACCCAATGGCTGGAAATTTACCAAAAAATAAGTACGGTAAATCATAATTTTTGGCACCGGTCTATCAACTGCTGGATGAAGGCATCCCTCTCAGCTATCAGTCTCTTGATGCAGCATTCCATCTGGTTCCTACCCAGAAGCTGATCTCATCACTCCATCTCTGTGGTGGAGACTTTCTCGGGTGTCCCTTTGGCTGCCATGCCATGTCTTAACCATTGGCCCTCATTCCCATGTAGTGGTGACCTGCTTAATTTGTTGTCAATATGGTGTCTCTTACCTTGCATGTTCTCAAGTACATGTTCGTTTTTCAGTGTAATTTAAAGCATAAACATGATCATTCTTCATGCACTTTTATTACTTTTTGTCCATGTTCACAATCCCCATTAAAGCAGGTTATATACACCATTGAAATCTTGACTTAAAGCTATCGTGATTGCAGGAATTAATTTCTTTGGGTCTTTCGGTAAAGTCACGTAGATAGGTTCAAAGAAAATAACAAAATAACAAACAAAAAACTAGGACGTTTTAATCGCAACACAAGCGGTCGTCATCAGAAAAAGGGGGGTTAGCTTATAAAGACAACTGCTTATAAAGGTTTGAAATGGGCATAGCCCAAATGGCAGCAGCCAATGCCAATGCAAGTGGTGGGCAGCGACCACGGCGGTGGTGGGCTTTCCACCAATCAAAGGGCTGCCAGGCAAAAATTAGCATGTCAATGCAAGATCGCCGAGCATCCTCCACGGCGAGCGTGCCAAGGTGGCTATGTTAATGTGAGAGATTAGCATGTTAATGGCAGATCGTGAAGTAGCAGCCTCGAGGATGGCGCGCGAGGTAGCTGTGTGAGAAATTTAATCTGTTAATGTAAAAAATCAGAGCTGAAAATAACAACATCGGAAGGTGGTAGGATGGGAACATCACAACCAGTTATGAGTCCATATATATAGACAGACACAATTTCAACCGAGATGGGTACAAACTGAGCAATCAATGCTTATGGCAGACGAAAAAATAACCAGTGGAAATTGACTTTAGCAAATGCTGGAATAACTTAATTAAAGCAGCTGTAATCATCTAATAAATGATTTTTAAAAGTACACTAGAAAGAGTTAGTGGTAATACTAATAATGAAAATCATAAAACGAGACACTGGTCAACATTCACTTGTATACGTTCATACAAATCAGAGGTATATACTAACCAAATTACAAGGTGTAGTGCGATCTTGGTGTACAGCTACACATTTTTATTAAATCAAAGAAAGTTTACATATGCAAATTTTTTTGACAAACAGTATTGTTTGATTATATTATTGTACACCATGTCACCTGCCGTTGCTTCAAAGGAAAATGTGTATGCACCTAAGCAAATAGGAAAAAAGGAACAGCACACATTTACTCAACCTGCAAACACCCTTCACAAACTCGATGCAAACCAACTTAATTGACTTATGATGGCTTTATTTCACTTACAACAGCTTTACAGCACTTGCTTGCAGGATTTGCCAGACGACACACTTCCATAATGATGCCAGCACATTAACATTGTCATACATGTCAACACCTATACTTACCATTTTCATAGTTTCCTGCAACAGTTAAAATAAATTCACAACTATAAATGTTATCAAACCATTCTGACAATACGGTGATTTACCATTACCAAATTAACCAAAATGTTCATTACCATGCTTTCTTTCCTTTAACAAAAATTCAACAAGAATGCCTTCGTTTAAGTGTCAGAAAGCATACAATCCAAGTGAGCATCTTTACTGAAAAAATTCGGAGGTTTTTCTTTCAGTGTTTTGAAAATAAGCATCTTTACTGCAGTGATTTAAACAATTTTCAAGTTGGTAAGACGCCTAATTAAAACTCAAAGTTACAATTTAATTTGCATGAGGTTTAAGTATTCTTGCATAAGGCAGCACATACCTGTAAAATATCAATACAAGTAACTTAATGACGCATTTTCATCTGTACTTTATGTGCAGATTTATTGAAACAACATATGTACCCTTTTGCGATATTAATGCTTACGTCTGGGTTCTCCAACCGGAAGAAATGGGCCAGATATGGCTGCGATGGTTGTTGGAGTGGCCCACCAAGACAAAGAGATACAAATTTGCTAAATTAAGGAGCATTAAACCAGAGCTAGGGGTGAGAGCTGTAGACGGGATTAAATATTGGTGATATGAACGCAAGATAAACAAGAAGAGAGACCTAGAGAAAAGAGGTACAGTTAGATTAGTGGTCACATGTAGAGACGTTATGATGTTACGACGGGGTGACATCATACCATCTGTACATGAGACACGTCATGCGACCTGTTAGTTTTATTGTGGACCCATTGGGAAATATGTAAAAAGTACTCTGCATTACAGAATAAAACTCGAACATGAAGTGCTTCAAGTATTAAACTATTTTCTAACCATAGAAAAAATGTTTTGTACACTTGAACATTCCAGCAAAAATGTCCATTCTGAAGAAATAATTAAAATGCTAATTCATATGGACTTGTGGACATGCACGCCTGTTTTACAAATAACAAAAAATGTTCAGAAAATGCATTACATAAATCCAAGATAAATATATTGTTCATAAAATCTACACGTACAATGTAGATGTTCCTGGTCTTATCGTTTAAACTTGGTGTTCATTATAACATTTCGCCACATTTACCTTTGCTCATCTCTCCAGTAGTGTGAATAGAAAAACAGTGAGGAAGTTTTAGTTGTACATTATACAGTACTTCACCGTTTCCAAATTCGGTATCAAGTTGCATTTGTATGCATATACAGTCATACAGTACTGCCTATGCCTCTAAAAAATTGATTTTGCACCATCATGTGGTAGTTGTCCTTTTATACACTGGGAATTTTTAAGTGATGTGATATTCTTATCTAATCTGGCTCTTTCCAGTATAGACCCGATCGATTCTCATTCAGGCTGGATTACAAGAGTCAAATTACATTACTATTAACTTTGTGAATCAATCCAATATACATGAATGCAATAATCACAATTAGGTATGCTACACATTACTAATAATAGACTTCGCATTTATGTAGGAAATAGTGAAATTGCCATGGAATGTGCAAAAGCAAGACATGGTTTTTAATTTAAAATGACATCAGGTGTGATTAAACTGAAATATTTCTTGTACATATTGGCGAACACTGATCAATAAATGTAAAACAAACTAGATCAAATCAAATTTACAATAACATTTACAATAAAATCTACTAAATAGACTATCCAATTACTGACATTTAATCGTAAGTCATCAAGTCTTGGAGCACAATAAGGGACATGCACGAGCCCAGCACATGTTAAATCAATACAGCATTCTCTCAGACGGAGAATGAAGGGCAACTTACTATTTTACCCATTCAAACATTGCAGAAATATGAATAGACCTTAAAATACATTAACGGTATTAATTGGGTGAGCATATTCGAAGGAATTTGTAGAGACTTCAATAAACAGCACTTAGGAAACGTCATTGGGAGAAACACATGGCACAAATCAAACAACTATTTAAATTCTCACCATAATGAAAAGTGAAATCTTAATCTAGTATTTTGTGTACCAGATAATATAAGTATAATATCTATGATACCTTTGAAGAAAACCTAAATCATTTCATCTCCATGTTAAAATGTAGCAATTTCATTTTCTGTTTCTTACATGAGCACCCTCCTTTATAAAAGACCCCAGTTCCCTGAATGTTTTATGCATCTGACTTCAAACTTAACATTCGTGCTTATCTCCTCTTAAACATTTTGTGCCATAAAGATGATGTGCTGGTCAGAGAAGCAGAACGGGGAGGTCACACTACACCGTGAGGTCGCTCAGAGTCCCTTGTTAAAGTAAACAACGCTGACCCCTGGAGCAGACTCACGAATTTTGGTCTGAAGCTCGGGCTCCAATCTGGTGACATTCATAGAACTGAGGAGAGAAACAACAGGTGACAATGGAATGCAGTCCACAAATATGTACTCTTAAGTCATTCGTTTTAGTAATGTTCAAATTACCAGAGCTGAAACGCGGTATTTGACCATAACGTATATAAATTAATGACCAAGCAGAAACATGTTTATTGACTGTCGTGCAAGATATTATCTCCTGCATTTGGTATCATGAGAAAGACCGTTAAGCAGCATCACTTTCATCACCAATATAT